TTAATCCACCTCTGAATCCCGGTCCACCCTTCGGCTCGCGTACACCACGCACACGCGTGCCTGAGCATTCGCACGCGTATACACGGTTCGAGCCGAACGCTTCGGAAAGGGGATGGGCGATGCGGAGCGAAGGAGAGGGCTCATTCAATTCAATTACGTAATGAATTGTCGTGTCTTGAGTAAACACCCTTCCTCGCCGCGACTTGCCGGCGGAAAATTCAGGGCGGTATCCACGGCACCCTCCTTCCTCTCTCTCTCTCTCTCTGATTTCCAGCAAGAGGGGGACGGGATAGCGGTTTAGGTAAACCAAATCAATCTGGCACCGGCCGTACAAAATCTCCCCTTTCGCGTGCGTGTGTGGGTGTCCTGCCCGTGTGCCATGCACGCAAATCCGGATTTCCGCGTGCGGCGTCGGTGATGGTCCTTTACGTGCGCGCGCGAAAGCGCGAACGTGCACGCGCCCGTAAAACGCAAACACGCGTGCGATAATGCGTGATTACATTGCGTGTAGACTCGATTTCGATTCGGTCGTGCGCGGGATCGGGATGCTATAAGTCCCGGCTCGTTCGATCCGAACTCGGAATCGATCTTTTTCTCTGATGCGCGTGGATCATTTTACAGGCGTTGGTGGCTCTCTTATCATGAAGAGGATCGAAAATCGCTATCTTCACGAAACTAAAAGGGCAATAACGATTGAAATGGCGTTATTTTTATATAATGGAGGCATTTCTAAACATACTTACATATAGTCATTGCAATTTTGCTGATTAGCTTAAAAATTTTCGGCCTTGCCGACGTCTTGGATGTATATTCCTGAATTTATTCGGACGAGATCTGTAAATCTCGATAATTTTTTTATTCCTATAATTTATAATTCGAAATCAAAGAGCCCCTTATTGATTAATAACAGTGTTAAAGACCTCCTCTCGTCTCTCATTTACAAGAGGCATCGATAATTCTGGCGTTCTCCCCGAATTAACTGGAACGGCTCGACTGGCGGGAATTGCCCGCCGGGGAGATTTGTAATGTTTGTATCATCGGGCTCTAATTCAAAGGAGCCAAATCGACGGTGCTATACGGCGCCGATCGAATTAGCACTGCGTCAGGACAAACGACCGTCGACCGCAGCCTGACTCGTGCCTCCGATTCGATCGCGAAATCATATCCAACCCCTTGCAAATATTCTCGCGCTCTCTCTGGGATCTCATGCACGGTGAAACGATATCGCATCTTCGAATTTGTCGATCTGCATCTGTATAAAAACTCTTCTTCTCGCGGTCGCCTAGAACGATAAGGAAATGATTTTAAAGTTATCGTTGCCGTTTTCAAAATGGCGAAGATGATTCGAGGAAAATGAGAAAGTGAGATGAATTATATTACGAGCATTCGATCGCCTTCGTGACTCCTCCGAATAAGCTTCGCGTCAGATCGTAATAATGGAGCGGCATTGCCACTATTGCCAGTAAGGTGTAGGTGACAATCTTAATTCATAATCTCCGTCTGCAATACCAATATTGGCGGTACAAAGCGTCAATTAGAAATCATTACGTGACATAGAACGCGTGACAAAGGGTAATAATGCGGCGGAATGGCGGAAGATGGGCGCGCTTTCTGGTGGAGTTCTCGGGAAGATCTTTGCGGATCATTGGATAATTATTGCATTATAATCCGAAAGAATAGATTTCTGTATTACCACCTGTTTTACCTTGCTACTCCATTTAACCAGGTTCCTGCATTATCAACGTTCGACTCTCTTGTCCAGGTCTAAAATCCAAAATCACTGTTGATGTTTTCATAATAAAATATCACGAGGTGAGTACGACGATAATTGACCTAACAAGTCACTGCTTTTCACTCATATTACACAGTTATTATTACGAATTCTTTTAATAGTAAGCGGAGAAAAATAGATTGAGTAAATAAAACAATGAAATTTTTTAGATTAATTATATATTTTAATATTAAACAGATGACTTGTAAAAATCTTGTGTATGCAGCACTTTCTGAGGCATTTTTAGCCCTTTTTATTATTACAACTGTTTTCTGCTAGTTCTATAGGCATTTTTTAAGATATTGTGCTTCTATAGGATCGGTTGCAGGTTGCAGGGTCATCACAAATGGGTATCATCGAGTCATGGGACTGATAAGAAACAGTCACGTAAGCATGTTGTTACAGCTCAGCAGGATGTGAAAGGAAGATAAATCAACCTGAAGGAATACATTTACTGCATCGCACTGCTACTTATTATGTACTTGTCGAGTTGAAACACATAAATCATGTATCATTTTGAAAAATTAAAGTCAGTGTTTCACAGGCAAGTGGCATATGATATCTTTTCAATATTTTCTTTTGTTGTATGTATTATCTTAATACATATTAATTACTAACGTGATCGTAGGAGTCAGCTAACCTCGTATATCCGGGGTACGCACCAGTCGGCTTCGAGGATCGACAGGATCAACAAGGTCAGTTCCCAGAATGACTGATTGTCGCTCAAGAGATACGCTCATTTCAACATAGATCCGTGTTGCAGATTCTGATAGCAAACCGAGGAGAGATAGCATGTCGCATAACGAAAACTGCCAAGAAGCTCGGCGTAAGGACCGTGGCGGTGTACAGCGAGGCAGACAGGAATTCCATGCACGTGGAGCAGGCCGATGAGGCTTACTGCATCGGTCCGGCTCAATCAAGCCAGAGTTACCTGCGGCAGGACAAGATTATATCGGTGGCCAAGCAGGCGAAGTGCCAAGCCGTGCATCCGGGATATGGATTTCTTTCGGAGAATACAGAATTCGCGGAGCTGTGCCAGAAGGAGAATATCATATTTATTGGTCCACCAGCCAGTGCCATCAGAGATATGGGTATAAAGAACACCTCAAAGGCTATCATGACAAAAGCTGGAGTTCCTATCATAGAAGGTGGATTTTTTTCCTATTCTAAATATACATATATACATATGTATAAAATAAAACAGAATCATATTTTTCAAATATTCTGCATGTTTGTAGGATATCACGGTGAGGATCAGACGAACGAAACCTTGTTGGCAGAAGCCAGGAAGATTGGCTTCCCATTGATGATCAAGGCCGTGCGCGGTGGCGGCGGGAAAGGTATGAGGATCGCTCAGAGGGAGTCCGATTTCGTCGAGGCGCTGGAATCCGCGAGAACCGAGTCCGAGAAGGCGTTTGGCGATTCAGCGGTGCTTCTGGAAAAATATGTTATCGACCCTAGGCATGTGGAAGTACAGATCTTCGCTGACAAGCACGGGAATGTCGTCTATCTATTTGAAAGAGACTGCTCCGTGCAAAGGAGGCATCAGAAAGTGATCGAAGAAGCGCCTGCTGTACGTATCCTTTCCCTATTGTAGAGATTTACGGAACGATGGAAAACCAAAGTGATTATATGTGACCCTTTATTTTACAGCCTGGCATTTCTCAGCAGCTGAGGCAGGAATTGGGCGAAGCGGCTGTGCGTGCCGCTAAAGCTGTGGGATATGTAGGCGCCGGAACGGTGGAGTTCATAATGGATCGGAATAATCACAGTTTTCACTTTATGGAGATGAATACGCGTCTCCAGGTAGAGCATCCCGTCACCGAGGCGATTACTGGCCTGGATCTGGTTGAGTGGCAACTGAGAATTGCGAGCGGCGAGGAACTCCCGCTTAAGCAAGAACAGATCCGTCTTAACGGCCACGCGTTTGAAGCGAGAATTTATGCCGAGGTAATGGCTCATCGTATTTTGTCTATTCGCGTTCCACGTGCCTAAAGATCCTAGAATTAGAGTCTGGCCATAAAGTAATTTTGTCAAAATCCTGCGAGAGAGAAGGATATACATTCGCTATCTACAATATCGCTATTTATCTATTACTGCGATACTTATAAAACTTTTACAGCATGGACTGTCCTATATGAACGCGTCAGAAAAGGCTGAGTTAAAGAGAAAGAGATAGCGAATGTACTCTAACTCGAGGATCTCTACATGTGTCAAAATGAATAAGTGCAATTTTATTTATCATGGAATGGATTTATCGTTGTGATATCACAGAATCCAAGGAATGGTTTCTTACCAGGAGCCGGTCAGCTTTTGTACTTAAAGCCTCCTGAAGCAACGGGCAATGTCAGAGTCGAAACTGGAGTGCGACAGAACGATGAGGTATCTGTACATTACGATCCGATGATAGCGAAATTAGTGGTCTGGGGAAAGGACAGGGGCGAAGCCCTTAATGTACTTATATCGAAACTCAGTGACTACAATGTAAGTAGCGCAATTAAAAAATTTAAAATTTATGGCAAACGAAGATTGAACTTGTTATATTATAGAATTTATAATATATTTATAATATAGGACTGTACTATTATATATTTAATTGATAATTGAACTAATTATATTTACAGATAGCTGGCTTGGATACGAACATAGAATTTATTAAAGATCTCTGTGCGCATCCGAAATTTCAAAATGGCGAAGTGCATACGGGGTTTATTGAGGAAAATTTTGAGCAACTATTCCCTAAGTTACACATATCTAACAGAATACTGATTCAGGGTACTCTCGCCTCGATACTGTATGAAGATATGGAGTCGTTAAGCGTGTCTTTGGAGACAAAGGATCCTTTTACACCATTCGCTGTGGAAACGGGCCTCAGATTAAATCACGTGTTAAACCGTACATTTCTCTTCGATGTTGGAAAAGAAAATAACATAGTGGAGGTGAAATACCCTGAACCGGATGTGTATCTGATGAGAGTCAATAGATTAGGACCATGGAGGAAAGTAACTGGAACTTTGAAGAAGACTGATGGTGCTTTAGAATTGTTTGCGGAAATTGACGAGATTGTCACTAAGGCGCGAACGGTGAAACTTAATAACAAGCTACACATATTTACCAAGGTGATTAATTAATTACGTAGCATTTAATGGCTGTAATGCTTTGCGTATTAATTTTTATGGAGCAATTTTGTTCGTAGGATCGTGAATGGCAATTGGTTATTCCCACTCCCAAGTTTGTGACCGCGATTACAAGCCAGGACGAGCAAAATCCATACACCGCTTTGAGCCCGATGCCTGGATTAGTTGACAAGGTTTTCATCGACAAGGGGGACACAGTAAAGAAGGGCGATTCGTTGCTTGTTATTGTCGCTATGAAAATGGAGGTGAATTTATTGGATTATTAATATCAACGCGCGATACGCGTATGATGTAGCTAACGTTTTTCTGTTTGCAGCATATTATTAAAGCGTCTGTAGATGGAATTGTTGAGGACGTGCTGTGCTCTATAGGTGATAACGTTGCCAAAAATAAGCTTCTCGTGAAATTGACCAAGTGCCAAATATAATATATATTTTATAATAAAGATAGCACTGAGATAAAAGGTACTGAAATAAGGATGCAGAACTTATAATTGTTGAATGATTATCGTTAGATCTAAAATAAATTATATTTTGTTACATGTATTTTTTAATAAAAAAGAAAGAGACAATAAATTTTGCAAAACAGACAATCTGTATTTTGTGTATTTATAAATGTAGTGTCAAAATTTATATGTTAGGAAAGCTGAAGTTATCATTTCGAAAAAATCTATTTTGTTTTGAATGACAGTGTAGCTAACATAATAAAAAAATGTTACTCTCCTTGCATAATGTACGGAAAACTGTTGGCAGCAGTTTCAAAACACATTTTGAAGTTGAAAGCGGAGCAAAGTGGAGCGTGGAGCCGCGAAAGCGAGGGAAATAATATAGTAGTTCTCTCGGAATTCAGAATAATAATAATTGTTTAACATTAGCGCGATATAGATTTTTTAACATGAGCAACTTCAACTCTCCTATGAAATGCATATCTTCTAACGCGAGGTAAAAATTCTTTACAAGTTATCACGAGATGAGGTTAGAACGCACTCCTCAAAGAATGTTATTTTCCAAAACCACGTGTTACTTGCAGAGTTTTAACGCCCAAGCCGCAAGTGCAGCAGTTACTGGATCTAAGGCAAACGCAGAACAAAGCTCGCAACAGTATCATATGGTTTTTTATCAACAGTGTACTGCTTAGCATCGTAGTCTTTGACATGTGAGACTTCCTTTCTCTTAAATCGCATCTGAAGCGATAGCGATTATTACAAGCTCGGCTTTGTTTTGCAGATTCTACGGTGGATTCACGTACAAACCGGTTTATTGGGTCGAGTGTTGCCTAGCATCGATACTTGCTTTGAATGCTCTGTACCACATTATACAATATACCTGGGCCACTTTGAGCCTGAAGCCGATTACGCTTAGCCCTAAACAAAGGCCGCTTTTAGGAGTCACAGAAGATGATCCCCTATTCAAGGACGAGATGCCGCAGAAGCAGACGACTCCGGAGCCAAGTCCCTCGTTGAATTTGTCTTGCATAAACCTTAGCAGACGTTCAACGACTCTTGGATCTTCGGTTCTGAGTGATATCAGTATGTAAAATACTTCCTTCTATTGTAATTATGCCTTAAATTTTATTATGCAAAACGTAGCTTTTTATATTTGGCTTTTTCTTTTTTTAAGAGGATTATTCGCCATCAGTCCCATTTCTTAAGTACAGTAATTTCGTATCTTCTAAAACGACCACGAGCTCTAACGGATCGCTAAGTAGATCCACGAATATTTCTTTAAATGGCAGCCTGACAAACGAGGATCTCATTCAGGACGAATGCGAACTTGAGAGTTATCTCAAAGAGGTTGAACAGCAAAGGAAGTGCGCATTATCCACGACTGTCGATCAACCTTCTAATCTCTTGAGTTCCTTTTGGTCTCATCCTGCTACCCGAAGTCCTGGTGAGGTATCACCGTTGTTAAGAAGATGCGCTTATCAGCTTGCGCCTACAATAGGTAAATCTGAAATTTATTTTATGTCTTGTACTTCTTTATGAAAATTCTTAAAAATCATTTACATCGTTATTTAGATAAAACAAAAGCGACCAGCCCCGCTGAAGAAGGAAGTTCTCCTAGAGGTACATTTGGTGCACTAGATATATGGCGAAAGTACAGAGTTGATTCCAACAAAGTCAATGAATGGACTGCCAATCTCCGGATGGTAAGAATTACGATACAAAACAGAAAAATATATTGTGCTATGAAGAATTGTCTGGTTTAATATTTCAAATATGTAAATAATATTTTAGTGGGTCAGCAAGACAGTCGTCGAACGCGTGGCTTTGGAAATAGATAATATATGTGCAACATTAGTACGCCACGGCTTGAGCGACTCACAGCCGGGCCACGTAGGACTGGACAGACTCAGGAAACTCGCGCAAGCACAATTTCTAGTCTGTGTGATTCCCACTCTGCCCACTTTGGTTCCCTTTTTGGAACTCTGTAACAATCAGGAGTACCTCGTGAAGAGAATCAAAACGCTCGCAAAGGGAGGATCCATGAGCGAATTTAAATGGAACGGTGGTGGGTCTCACAACGGTAAAGAATGGGACTCTAGCTTGCCAACGGATTCCGCTGTAAGCAGCATAGAAAATTATAAATTCTCTATATCGAAGAGATTGTAGCTCCTCCGAAAATTTTTACTGATCTTTTCTGGCACACTCTCTCTACGTCTCTCTATGCAGATAATAATGCATCTAATTTCGACCTATATGGACACACAATTGGAAGCGCCCTTGGATCAACCAGACGCCAGGCCGTTTACATCAAGATATATGGCGAGATCTGGCATGGAATTGCCGCGGAACAAGGGCCCGGTAATAGTCTGTCAATCTATAAATCCACCGCACTACAGTCTAGCGCTATCCGGTGATTCTCTTCCGAGCGATTACGAGGAAGTACAACGGGTAATTAAAATCTCATGTAGATAGATATACTTATATCGCTTACATTTCTCGCTTTATAATGGCGATTATATTTTTAGGGACGCAATAATTTGTTCCATACGCTCTTACTCTTTTTATACATAGTCAAGACGCGAGATCACGGCATGTTAGGGCGAGTTAATTCAGGATCTTCCGGAATCAATATTCTGTGGGTGATAGACGGCTGAAACAAATTGACTTTTATATGCTGCCCAATGAAAATGAAAGGAAAAAAAAAGAAGGATTGTGATTATCATACAGATTCAGATTTACGCCCATAAGACTGCGCTTAATATTTTGTGTGTAATATTTTATAGTGTTGATTTAACAAACGCGACTAAATAAAACAAGTGTTTATACTAAAAAGATTGGTTACACTGAGTACTTGAATACCATGATTTCTTTATTCTCATTGCAGTTATATTTGATATCATAAGATAACAGGAATTATGACTTTCGACTGTTATAAGTTTCCCGTTTGTCATTCTTCATTTAACAAAAATCAACCTGTGTGTTTCTCTTGCCAAAATCGAGTCAAGACTGATAGTTTCGTCAAACATCGACAATAGCTCAATAAAAAAATGTATACATACATATTTTTATAAAATATAGTTCTATAAATGCGCATAATGCAATTGAAAATATTTCATTAATTACAACTGTTACAAGATCACTCAATCGTTATTATCACTTTGCGTGAAGATCTCGAATAATTAATTCAAACCTTCTCACACGTCTGATAAGACAAAAGGAAAAAAAAGATTATATGTGTGAACTTCCATTTCTCTTTCTCATTGCTATGATCAACTTATCATTGAAACATATTCGATACGATGAGGTAAATCGTATTTAAACGAAGTTCTATAAATTTATTACATTATTCTTTGGATTAGGATGTATATTGTAAAATTACAAAGGATTCTTTCAGTTCGAACCAATATATACAATTAAAGTATATCAATACAGTAAATTTAATAACTCCGATGACCATAAACCACGATGTAAGATTAGAACAAATACTTTATTTATTACAACAGAAACTAATAAGAATTATGTCTCACACATATGTAATAACAACGTTTATATGATATATGTAGTTTATACATGTGGTTTAGTTTCGTATTAATTTTACATATGTTATGCAGACATGAATTAATATTATGTGTAAGAGCACATTGCATGTGAAACTTATCTATTATAAAATTTATAATTTTTTTCATTTTGCTATGTTTTAATGAAAAAAATTAGTGAACTTATTGCAATATGGAATTTAATAATAATTTTTGTAATCGTAACTGTTCTCTCTCTCCGTAACTATTTTTGTAAAAAACTGTTTAGTTTTAAATACAGGCAATATAAGAGTTAAAATTTTATGCGAATTAATTCCAATAGACGATATTACACACAACATCGCTTTAGGATACTCCTTCTACAAGAATCAATGATAACGTAATATAATATATTTGCATAATATTAATTAAACAAAAATATAAAAGAGTTAACAAATTCAGTTTTATAGAGAATTAAATGATGCCCGATTATGTCTTCACTTAGGATTAGTGTAATTTCTAAATATAATTATTATGTAATTATATCAATAATTATATATATTATAATTACATCGTCACTTTATTATCATTTTGTATTATAATTGCGTATATAATTACATATAATTATACAATTACATGTTACAAAAAACCTTTATTATAAACATAATTAAAATGACGAAATTGTCAGATTTATAACTTTTAAGTTGTTTGCAAATCAATTTTTTTTTAAATAAAAATGGTAGTATTCAATTAAAGAAAACGAAGAAAGATCTCTGGAAGAATAAACTAAGCGAAAGAGTAAATCTAATATTGTTTAATACATGCTAAGCTTTAAGTATTTAAAAACTATTCTCTTATCCATATTATGTCTCTTAAAGAAAATCAATCTATATTACAACACACATTCGTGATAGACATTTGCCTCTTCCTGTCCTTTTCATAATTCGTCACGTTTTCAAAATGTTTACACTATTCATTCTCGGTAATATATGGGAATGAATAGTGTATTATGTCAACGTACATATATTTAAAATTTCTAGATAAATTATACATATATCACTTATTAATGCCTTCACCGTTGCAAAAATAAACTTCAATATAACGTTTCATACATAATCAAAATGATACTCCCTCTGTTAAATCCATACATTTATCGTACACCTAATGGAGCATCGCACCCTTTCTTATACAATCTAAGGAAAAATCCCTCGATAACGTGAACCATCTCGTCGCGAAGTCATCATTTCCGGATTTCCCGTGCGTATCGGAAGTGTGGGAATGAAAACGATGGTCACAGGGTGTCAGGAGAACAAAATTCACTCTGATTCGCATTCATATCGTTAACATGCGCTTTCATCCTCTTGAACGGCACGTCCCTTCTTTCCTATATTATTTAACGAGCACGAGAAAAACAGCTCGATTAAGAGGTGGTGTATATCTTTGTACCCTCGGGTAGTATCACCTCCTCGCCTACGTCGGTGAGAGTGACGGTAAGCGGCAGGATTAGAGGCATCAGTATCTCCTGATGCTGCATAACTTGTTGCGCCGTGGTTACCGTGGTAGGCTCAGCCGGTCTCGCTATAGCGATCGTTTTGATGTTTTGCGCCTTGACTACTTGCGCCTGGCCGATCGTTTGATGCAACCTGACTGAATGCGGCTGCTGCTGCACCTGTATCTGCACTTGCTGCGGCTGCGGCTGCTGCTGTTGCTGCTGCTGTGGATGCTGTTGCTGTTGCTGATGCTGTGTCGTCTGCTGGATCATCTGCTGCGCCCGGTTCTGATTCTGCAAAAGATTCTGCTTACACCGCTTGCTATGCGCATAGCGGCTGCCATTATTGTTGAACTTCCTGTCGCAAGTTGGACACTCGTAAGGCCGCTGACCCGTATGAATAAACATGTGCTCCTTCAGCGATTTCAATCGTCGGAAGTTCTTCGGACAGCACTTGCAGTGATACTTGGCCTCGCCAGTGTGCGACGTCAGATGATTCGCCAAGGTGTCGGCGCGCGCGAACGCTCGCGAACAGTACTGGCAGATGTACGGACGTTCCTGCGTGTGCGTGCGCATATGCATCTTCAAGTAGGCGTTGGTGGTGAACGGTCTGGAGCATACCTCGCACACGTACGGCTTGATACCGTTGTGGGCGCGCAGATGCGCTATCAGCGTCGTCGATTGCGTGAAGCTCTTGCTGCAGATCTCGCAGAGGAATCTCTTGGAGCTGTCGGTCTCCTTGGTCTTCTTGAACGTGCGATCGTGCTTAGGCAGGTGATTGTTGAGCTGCTCCTCCTTGATGAAGCGCTTGGTGCATCGGGTGCATTTGTACGGCTTGATCATGTTGTGCTTGGCCACGTGGATCTTCAGATGTTCCCGACGGTAGAACTTCTTCGGGCATATGTCGCACAGGTACTTCTTGCCCTCGTGCACCTGAATGTGCCGCAGTAGACCTTTTCTGGAGGTGTACTGTTTGTTGCATTCGGTACACTCGAGCCCCACGATATCGGTCCTCCTCTTCCGACCGATCTTCTCGCCCGGTTTCTTCTCTTCGGATTTCGGCTCGATGTCCCTCAGATCCTCCTCCGTTAAGATGCCTTCAGTGACGTGCTTGGCTCTGTGCTCGCGCAGGATCTCGTTGTTCTCGAAACTGTCGCCGCAGATATTGCACTTCCTCACCTGGTCGGGATTCTTCTCGGAACATTTGTCGTAGTGCGCCTTCAGCTTGTCCTTGCGGTAGAACTTGGCGTTGCAGATGTCACACTCGAAGTTCGGCTCCTCGTGCAACAGCTGGTGGCGCAGCAGCGACTTCTTCGTGCTGTATCGTTTCTTACACGTGGTGCATTCGTGACTGTCCATCGGCCAGTCGAGGCCGCTCTCGAAGTCGGAGTCGATATCGTCATCATCGTTATCACCGATGCTGCTCGTCGTCTCCTTCTTCTGCGCCTCCTTCTTCTCCAAAGCGGCTTTCTTCAGCTTCTCCGCCGCCTTCTCCGCTGCCTTTTCCGCTTTCTCCTCCTTCACATGCTGCTCCATGTGCTTTGTCAACGCTTGCTTCGTGCTGTACCTCTTGCTACAGGTCGCGCACTCAAACTCCTTCTTATAACTGTACTTCTTTGGTGTAGCGTCGCGCTTACGGCGATAATGCCCGTCCAACTTGGCGTCGTAATCGGTATTGTCGTCGTTATCGTCGTCGTAATCCTCGAGGCCGTCCTCCGTCTTGATCTTGTCGATGATCTTCTGCGCCGCTCTCGCCGCCACGCGCTTTATACGCTTATTCGGATCGTATTCCTGCCCGTGTACGAATGTCTTGTGATTCGTGGCAACCAGGTGATTTCTCAGCGTGAGCTCGTTGCCGAAGGTCTTATTGCACTGGGTACACTTGTAGGTCTTCACTCGTGCGTGCTGCTCGGCATGCCTGCGCAGGAGATCCTTCCGTGTGAATTGTTGACAGCATATCTTGCATTCGTAAGAGCGGGTGCTGGAATGCGTCGTCTCAATGTGTCTGGACAGCGCTTTCTTACGCGAGAACGTCATCGAGCACGTCGGGCACTTCAGTTCCTTCGTGTTTTCGGTGGGTTCGCCGTTGCGCTCCTCAATCTCGATGTTCTTGTTGTCTTCATCGTTGTTCTCGCTCTTCATCTGCTTCATGTCCTCTTCCAAATCCTGTTCGGTGAGCACTCCTTCGACCACGTGCTTCGTTCGGTGATTTCTCAGTTGTTCCAGAGTGTCGTACTCCTCGTTACACACGCTGCACTCAAAGCTAACATGCGTGATCGAATGCTTATGCAAGCCTCGCTTTGTGTCGAATTTTTCTGAACATTTGTCACACGCAAACTCCTCAACGTGACTGCGCTTTCTTCTTTTATCCTGATCGCTGTCGCTCGTGTCATCGTCGGCTGTATTTCCTCTCTTTCGCTTCTTGCACTCGCTATCCGATCTGTTGCCGCTATCAAAGTCTAGACTATGCTCATCCTCATGGAACGATATCTCGAGTGGCATTGGATCCTCCTTCGCTTCCTCCCGCTCCCGCTCGTGTTGCTTAATGTGTTTGGTAAACGAGTTTATGTACAGATACTCTTTACCACAATAAGGGCACTTGTTGGCTTTCTTTCCGGATGGCGGCGTCTTCGCGGAAGCGCTGGCCTGCACCTTCTGCGGTTTCTCCGGTGTTTTCTTCAGAGATAGTGTTTTTCTCACTTCTTCGTGGGAATGCATATGTTCTTTCAGGACGTTCTTCGAAAGGAATTGCTTATCGCACAAGTAACACATAAAAAAGATCTTCTCCGTCTTGTCTGACTGCGCTTTTTTCAATCGAGAACTGAGATTCAAATTTTCGAAATAATTCTCCTCGTCGGAATTCCGCTCGGTAAATATCCGACGAGCCAATCTACGTTTACTTCTCCTCGTTTCATTTTGGGATGATTCCTGTTCCACTGGCTCATCAGTATTAGCTGTGAGCGTTTCCTCCTTGAATAATACCTCTGTGTCATTTTGATTTTGCTCAGCTTGATTCTCCTGCTCAGCTTGAGCTTCTTGATCTAATTCAGCCTGAATCTCTTGATTTATTTCAGCCTGAATCTCTTGGTTTATTTCAACCTGAATCTCTTGGTTTATTTCAGCCTGAATCTCTTGGTTTTGCTCAGCTTGAATTTCGTGAATTTGCTCAGTTTCAATCTCTTGATCTTCCTCAGCTTGAATCTCTTGATTTTGTTCAACCTGAATCTCTTGGTTTTGTTCAGACGATGTTTCTTGGCATTCAAGTGTGTCTTGCTCAAGTTCTGGTACATTTTCCTGCATTTCTTCCTGCAAGGAGAGTTGTTCAGCAGGCAAACTACATTGCTGCATAATGTAATCATGTTCCTCTGTTGGAATTGCATCTGTGCAACTTCGAATGATATTCTCGTCGCTGGAAACTTCTTCAGCCCTAGATTCATCGATACCATCTGATATATCATTGTCTTCCGCGTCGGCCAATTCTTGCTGCAATTCTTCCACAATGCTTTCTCGCGAGTTATCTTGTTCTAAATCTAAACAGTAAAGTCAGTATTAATAAAATATTTGGAAAAACTGTATAAACACCATTGATTCGTCAAACGGATTTTACTCACCTTGTTGAATTTCCTCTGTCTCTGACAATTTCTCAGCTTCCAAAATCATTAACTGATTTTTCAGAAAGTTCTTGTCAGCTGCTGACTCCACTGGCAATACCGTAGTGGTAGATTCATAATCAGTACTGACACTTATCTCTTCTATATTGTCATTCCTCTCGGCATCCAAGTGTATTTCGACTTCATTAAGAAACAACTCCTCCTTTATTATTCCACCGACGAGCTTTCCTCGAAGAACGTTGTCGGCTTGCTCCACTTGTAACTTAAACTCGTACGCCGACTCCAACTTGGCGGCGCACATGCAGCACACCTGTGCCGGTAGACCGTCGCCTGGTAACATCTGATCGAAGAATACGGTTCAGTACATCTTAGAAGAAAAACATTGACGCTGATTATGCAAGGAATAAAGCTAGTCCGATGTCGCGATTACCACCCTGGCTGCCACGCGCATCACCAGTGATACACACAAAATTTTTACTTGTGTGTCACATGCATTACTCCTGGCCTCGACAAGTCATCTATTTAACATGTATTATTCTGCGTGGTCTCTGAGGTAGCATTATAACGGTTTTACGGTGGCAGCGAAGATGTGTGCTAAAGGCAGGACGCGCGAGGACGCGTCGTGCAGGTTCAACAAGCCAAGGAACTTGATCTAACGCGGGGATGGCGGAGGGAAGGTGGGAGAATCGCGAGAAGCTCGACCATCGTCGGGGAGAGGTCTAAAAATCCGTCCGGAACCAGAAGAAGGAGAGCGACGGTAAAGGCGAGGGGCTCGGGATACAGCGTCGGCACCTAACCTCCAAATTGCGCATCTAACCTTAACGTTGGCGAAGCTCATCGCCTTCGCCGACAGGGACGCGACCTCGCTCTCCAGGAAGAGGTCGCGCATCATCAGGTTGCCGAGCAGGCAGACGCGGCATATCTTCATGCCGGACGCGATCGCGTCCTCGCCCTGCGGCGGACCCGACGTATTTATCTCCACGGCGTCCATGTTTCGTTCGGCGGAACTGACTTGGACCGACCTGGGAACGAATCGGGCTGCCCGGCCACGCTCCTCCTCGCTGGTCCCGCGCACCGTCTTCCTTCACCCACCACTAACTAGGAGATGCGGAAAAATATGTTTCTCTTTATTACATCGTTTTCGTTTTGACATAACGAGAGGTCGACACGTTCAGACATATGAAGGCTGTTCTCGGTAGCTGCACTATCGGCATACTTTTTGCACCTAAAATGGGAATATAATCGGAGTAATCGGAGTAATCGGCGAGAGAAAGAGGAAGGGTGTGAAGAGTACAGCTGCAAAGAGCAACCATATGCGCTCGTGCTATCGAAACGGCACGGAGTCGCCGAGAAATTCGCGAGCCGTGAAAATCGTGATTTCTCGGAGAATTGCTATCTTTGCGATTTCAATTATCTGCTGATTATAATCCTAGTAACTTCTGGTGATTTTCGACAGACTATTCTCTCTTCGCCCCTCGGCGATTCTGCAAATCTAGTAATTTCCATTTACTTCCGGGAGATTCTATTACAACTTCCGGCGATCACGTTTCCCTCCGCAGTTTTGAAAGGAAATGCAGAAAAGAAGAATTTCTTTTGAATTTGTTTCAACCTCTTTTATATCGTAATAAATATTTTGATATTTAACATTTACAATTGAAATTTAAAATTTTATTAATGTAATTATTATGTAACGATACGTGTAATCGACATTGTAATTCGCTTATAATTACACATTGATGTAACCGTCACCTTAAATGCTATTAAAAAATTGCGTTAATACTTAATGTTCAACATTGAAAAAAAAAATATAGTCTCCTTTTATACCTCATGTTGCCCCGAGGTCGAATTTTGTATTTTATTTGGAGATCGAACGCTATTGAGCTTTTGACACGACTCCATGATCAGAGACGCGTCACCGCCACCAGATATGGTACATTTTCCTATCTTCTCCGTTATCTCGGACTCAATTAAACAGCTTTCCGTTTCTGGCCTACCAGTTTGGCATAGTTTTTCCACGATGTTGAAAGCCAATTTCTTATTTACGTTCTGTGAAGATACGTTTTCTACTTCTGACAATTGGCACGACGAGAACGTTGCATTTTCCGACGTGGACGACGAAGTTATCTTCGCTAAGGCAGCTGAAACGGCTTCCAATGTAATCACAGTTCTTATCTAGACGGCCTTTTCAAGTATATTACCTGTTAAATCCATGCTTTCTTCAGCTATGTCGAAGTCGACGTGAATGCTGAAGCTATCTCTGCTAAAAAGATGTTGTCTAATGTTAGACAGATTCCTAGGGGATATCTCGTTTTTAACGGCTGGCTCCGCTATATTTTTGTTCTTATGCGGCGTATTGTACATAATGGAATGCTCGCTGCGCAATGTACGGCCGTTCCTTATGTAAGGTATCAAATATGACAAATCCGACGGTTTTTGTACTATACTGTTTGCCGGTTGAATGGATACCTGCGGTTTGTGCGTTTTTACTAAAACAGAGAGAAGACTTGACATTAATTCGAAGGCATATAAGCAACTTGTATGGAGAATAAAAGTTTTCACAAACCTGAATAGGGCGTTCTAATGTAAACCGAACTATTTTTATCGCGCGGCAAACCGTAAATTGTAGATGGAAAATTCATGGCATTTGATACGCTACCTGTAACATACGTACAATTTAATTAATTTAATTCTTCCTTAACGTTACTTGCCCTTTCTTGCATTTTAATAAACGGTATTCCGTACCATGACTGGAATCTCCTTGGCCTCTCGCAGATTTTTCATGCGTCGTATTGTTTATAATTATAGACAGGGCGGGCTGCAATCTTTGAACGACATTTAATATTAATTCACACCGTTTTATCACCCGCAACTGTTGAGGCTCCGTTGCGTTTTCCACCAGAAGAGTTTTTGCAGCTTTGTTGGCTTCATATATAGCTATAATAAAAAAAAAGACATGCCAAATATCCACTGACAAAATATATGTTTCAATCGTGAGTAATACGGCATCGCAATTACCTGCTTTTAATTCTCTTGTCATCATTATCGTTTGACAATCGATGTTTTCAGGACCAATGTCGTCTACGATCGCTGTAACTTGACTAGATAAAGCTGAAGCACGCTGAACGATACCTTGCACCTGAAGCTGCGTTACTGGCTCTCTGTTATCCAGACAATCCGAGATTGTTCTTATACGTTCTTGAAGATCGTCCATAACTACCTGGATAAAAAATATATTTAAGTACTCGTAAAATCTTTATAATCTTTTATAATCCGTTATACTTACTTGACAGAAGGCAGCCGAGTTTATAATGAGATTTACGGCATTCTGAAACTTATTCATCTCTATTTGCCATTGCGTAGTCAACAACTTGACACTGGAACGCATTTCTTTGTTATCTGGATGCAGATAGAAGGAAGTTATAGCAGAAATTAATTCAGTTTCTAAGGACTCGAATCCTGCGAGACAATTACGAATTTTGTTATTGCCTGAAATAACCAAATCTATATTAGATATATTTTATTATTTGAAAAAAGTTGTTAGCAGCTTTTCATGAAGAAAAATAATTATGATAAAGAGCAACTAACGGTTCTTGTCTTTGCAACAAGCGATCGCAAATATTCCAATTTGCACAGTTTGATCAAAGAGTTGATCAAAGTCTTCTATGAGATCGTTTAAATCACTCTTCGATCTTCTTTTCGCGCTCAACGAATTTCCGCACGTCATAACGAGTTTCTTCAAAGCCGCGTAAGGATTGCTGAACACCTCCATCGCGAGCGTTAATACAGCTATGTTAACTTTACGTTCCAAACGATGAAGCGCGTCAGTCAAGGTATGCGTGAACAAATTGTTTAACGCCGGATCTGGGATTTCCGACAGTAATTGCTGTTTTAGTTTCTCGTATTCCAACACTACGGACTGGCACGAACCAGTTATGGCTTTAAAATTATACGGCTGACACACTTGAGTAATTGCCATAGCATGAGAGAAGACATCCTCCAGTCTCAACCACAGTTCCGCGCATTCGGATAGTTGCTCCTCGCGCGTTTTGCCCGGTATTTCTAATATAATGTCTAATGCCAAATCCATTCTGCAAGTGTACCATTAAAATTACTTGCGCGAATACAATTATAAAACATAAAAAAAAAATATGTTTATTTTCTCACCTGTAGACGAAATGATTCTCCCTCTCGCAAGTTTCCTTTTCCGGCGATGGGTTGGGACCGTTCAACAAGTTTAAAATCATTTCGCAGCACGTGCACGTTCTCTCGCAAACGTACTTCTTGCAAGCCTGCGCATATTCATACAATGTAGATACAGAAGCAGCTTAAATTGTGCAAGAAAATTAAATATGTAATTATTACGTAAATCGGCGCGTTTAACTGATGCTGCTCCTGAGCCAGTTGTACTAGCATCTCGAATGACGTGCACAGTTGAGAGGTATATAAAGCTAGTTTCTGTGACAGGAAAGCAGACACTAAACTTTTTCTGTAATTCTGCAGTGGTTCGAGTATCTCCAATATTGAAGTGCCCAGTTCCTGTGAAAGCACAAAGGGGATTAATATTCGTGTTAAAAGATTAATAATTGTCTCGAGTTCATTTCGTTACCTTAATATTTTGAAGATCCTCAATCTCGTTCGCTGTGCTCATTTCTCTAACGTAATCCAGACAGTCCTGAAGTCTCTGCTTCAACGGCAAGCACTCTAATTCTTCTAATGTTCGTAAAGCTAACACGAGATTATCGAGCAGTAATTCCATCTTATGTTTGACTGCATTGCTATCAGTATTGTCATATTTAATATCCTTAATCTAAAAAAGATAGCAAGAAGTAATTAAAATTTATTTAATAGAAATAAAAGCAGTATCAAGTATCGTATCAAGAATCTTCTGCCACTTACAAGCTCGTCAACATTTTTCAATAGAGAAACATATTTCAAATTTGTTGCTGCATCAGCAAACTTTACATTTGCCTCCTCATAGTCGCAATTATCGTCGCCTGTTAAATTGTTGAATCTCTGAGTTAAAGAATGCAGTTGCTCATAGAGTACCGACTTTGCGGTCAAAATCTCTGACGGATTGACGGGAGCGGTAGTCAGCAATAGATGCAACTTGTCCACCTGAAAAGAATTAAGTTTCGACTTTTGTTCTCAAGCAATAAGTTAACTGCGGTCTCTACAATTTTTTATATTTTGCAACGCGGAGTCTCCGTCAAGTGGTTTCATCGAACGCATCGACTACTGAAATGAATCGAAGATAGCGATCGAAGATAGCGAGCTTGTTTACTTGCTGCCGCAGAAGCTCCAGCAATTTCCTCGTTTGCCCCGTTTTCACCTCCATCGTTGGATTTTTCTCTCGATCCCCACGGCGCTTTGAAACTTCAAAATTCATACGTCTCAACAGCGGAATGTAAATAAGGTGAATTTAGTAACTAACCAGGCACATGGCAACCAACAACCAACCAATATACTCAACATCTGAGAACGCTAAATGTCACAGGAAGTAGTTTCCTTGTGGTTGCGTTGCACCACGCTTTTCGCACCTAAAATGAGATTGGTGTTCAATTGGACATTAGGGAAAAAATATGGAAAAAAGGACCCGGAAGGTTCAACAAGAAATAATACGGATCGGCTTCGATAACCTAACCTGATTTTTTCCTAACCTTAACCCGAGAGACGCGCGAAAGCGTCGCGTTGAATGCAGACGCGAGTCGCTCTGACAGTCATTTCTTTTTTTTTTGACGCACGGATATTTGAAAATAAATCTCCACAGGTCCCCTCAGGCTCGGAGAATTCGGAATTCGCTCCGTTCCACGATGTTCTCCAGAGACAGAAAGGGCGAGATGGAGATCGACGTGATGTTGGACGAGCCGCTGACCAGCGACTCGTGCACGAAGGTTGTGATGGAGCTCATAAAGTACATTCTGTATCAGAAGCAGCAGATACCGTTCACGTACGAGGCGCTAGCTCAATTCCAAACGAGCGTGAAGACGACAGACAGGAACGCGGTATCTTTCAGAGCCCTGTCGGGCACGCTGAAAACCGTCTCGGATCACCTGTCCTCGCAGTTCTTCCTCAAGGGTTGCGATATAAAGGAGGTTGCCATAATACTCGGCGCTACGATACTGTCGCCGAAGCTCTACATTGGGATAGATCTTCCCTCGTACGTTCTCAACAGCAAGCAGCACAAAGAGTATCAGCATTCCTCCAGGAAACCGCTTTTGAAGCTTATGAGGTCAACAAGAAAGATGAACGGAGCACGCTTGTGAATATATGTTAGAGGATCATGAGATACACATGCCATTTTATATTTTCAGGTCTATGTTGGAGTGCGACGAGTTCCAGGAGGCCATGAACGTTCCTCTAAACATGACAAACATGTTTGTCATGCTGAGGAAAAACGACAGTAACTCGGTGTCCGATTTCTTCCTGCCCAAGCCGCAATACGTGCCGCCTATGCAGACGGCAAGTTGCTTCAGGATTAAACTGTGCCAGAGTGACCAAGCGGATATGCGGTGCAACTGCAGGACGCTGGTCAAAGTGTATCACGATTCGTGCAAGACTTATTTGGAGAACGAAGATGACGTGCAATATACTCAGTACAATAGTGCCACTCAGTCCTCCTACCGATGGTATCAGTCAAAGCAGATTATAAAGGGATTTAAATTCTCTTCATGACCGTAACTTCGCGATACAGCGCAGTTATAGCAGAATTGAACATTTTTTTCATAGGATGAACAATTTTCTCTAGGATGTTAAATAGATTAAATGCCGTGTAATCGTATTATAATTAAGAGCAACGAGACCATATTAAGCATTGATGTGTTTAACAGCATTAATGTGTTTGTACTGCTGACATCGCATTGATGTCACAACGTGACTCGACAAGTGTCCTGAGGTCACATATGATAGAAATTTCCATTCATTATCAGAAAGAGCAAACCAGTATTTTTATTCGTATCAATATACAACAAACGTGATAAGTCTTATACGCCAGTAATCGGAATTATGTAATCAAGGTTGCAGTACAAAATTGTGTAATAATGAATTTTATTGATTAACCAAGATATTTACAGTAAAATAGACAAGATAAGATGTTGCTGATTTATTATAAGAAAAATTTTGTATAATTGCTAGAAATATTTTATATTATATACATAATTATAACGTTAAATTTTTATCTGATCGAGTTGCAGTTAATTACTCCGCCACTAAATCTATGTTATAAGTTTTATGCGACTACTTATTAAGGAATTTTGTAAGAACAGGAAATACGCAAGAAAATCGTGCGATTGTTAGACAACTCGATTGTGCATGAATCTAAAGTTTTAATCACGTACAGATAATCCCTCCTATAGAACCGCTTTTGGAGTAGGGCAATACATATATTAATACTTGTCGTAAGACGCGATATTGCATTTCGTGAGGCTGAGAGAAAGCGAGAGTATCATATCATTTTACATGAGAGAAGTTTAAATTTTGCGACTGAAAATGGGTTCCCTGAAATTTTTAACGTCAGAACAGAAACAATTCTGGAAGGAAAATGGTTACATCAAATTGTCGAATGTGTACTCTGTGAAGGAAATGAATGAAATATCGGACGCCTATGATGAGCTATTCGAAAGGAAACGTCGTGAAAATCTACCTTTGGAGGCAAGATGGGCCGGAGAAGCTATGAAAAAAGAGGCTGGAAATATTGACTATTCCGTAAGCAAAAAACATTTATCATAGCCATTCTACTTTCTGTAAAATTTATTATCTATTATAGAAGATTTATGTTATTTGCAGATTACATAGAATATATATTATATATTATGTTAGACGTATTCTCATTTATGTATCAGGTAAGATCTATCCACGCTCTGCAAATGCACAGCGGCGTTTTCACTCGGGCTATTACGCACCCAAATCTGTTGGACGCTCTCGAGGATGTCATGGACACTAAGGACATATTGCTGCATCACACTAAGGCGCATATGAAGCCGCCGGAGAAGGGAGCGCCTTACCTGATGCATCAAGACTATCATTATTTTCCCCACAAGAAGCACACCATGCTGGCTGTGTTTCTACATTTGGACGACACAACGCCGGAAAATGGTGGCTTGGCGGTATATCCCGGCAGTCATAAACTGGGACCATTGGAGGATCACGGTGACCGAACGGTGACCGATAAGATGGGTGAGCAGTTTCATTACGCCGATCCCGAAAAATACCCTTTGTCCAAAGCCGTTCCCGTGCACGCCAAAAAGGGTGAAGTCATCATCTTCTCCTACCTGCTGCTGCACGGTTCGTATCTGAACTTGTCCACCAGAAGTCGACGCATGTTTCTCATACAAGTGAGAGCCGCCGACGACGAGCCGATCGAGGACGTGCACACATCCGCTTGTCAAGGCATGGTGCTTCGCGGTAAAAATATTTACAGAGACGCATCGTACGAAAACAGATATCTCCATTAATCTAACCCGGCGAATCTAACATAAGCGAATATTTACTCTTTTTAAAATCTGTTTGATTGAATGAAGAATGATCTGTATCGACTCTATTTTTAAATCTGATTGATTGAATGAAGAAATGTTTTTGACTAAATTTTATCGCGTATATTATTGTATGCTCAATTATTTTTTCTATTCACGACTTTTTCCTATTGCCATCCTTCTTTTATCCCTCGAACTTCTTTAATCTTGCGGTATCTTAAGGATTTTTCTGAAATCATCGACTTGTGAAACGCGCAAGGAGTATTGCGAATCCAGTGACATAATCCTGAAACAGCATCTCGATAAATATATCTCATAAATTATTATCTGCAACACATAAAACATGTTCCATCACATTCGTCAAGAATTTAAAGAGACATAATTGTATAATCATTACGAGATAACGCATTCAAGAGATTAATTAACATAATTAATCGCCGCACGTTTTATACACCGAAGTGGAAGTATTTGTCAAATATTTCGTATTTCCTTTTTCCATTTTTGTTTGTGATATCACAACTGCGAGGGAAAGATCAAAGAGCAGCGTGGAAAGGATGATTCTAGATTAAAAAGTACACGTAATTGATCTCTGTCAGTTTTCTTCCAACGATATTTTCAACATGTAGCTTTACTTTATCCTCATTATTATTATATTACTTGTATTCTGGTGTTATTCCAGCCGTCTTTCCAGCACACAGAAAACAATCATGTGATTCTGAACCCGCAAGAGAAAAAGTACACGGAAATAAAATCTGCCTCGTAATCGTAAATAGCGACCACAATATTTTTAATCGGGGTCGCTCGATCGAATGGCAACATCGTGAAAATGTTCTTATCACCCAAAAAAGACAAATAACCATCGGAAACGTCCTACTGCACGGGCGACCATCTCTCTACATATGGAAATTGCGAAAGAATTGCGTAACAGAGATATATTTATAATACATAGAGACTAGAATAGCTGTATGCGGACAGGACGTCTAGAAGGTAAACAGATATTTGCCAGATCTATAAAAACGACATTTCCGCGCGGCGTCTCGCTTGACCAGCACGAAATGCTCCCCCAGGAGGTCCGTTTCACTCGAGTGACGCGAACCATCGGCATCTGGGAGGAAAGGAGAAAGAAATAAAAAAAAAAGCGAAGAGGAAGTTCCTTCTGGCGCGTCGAATCGCGTCCGCGCCGATACGAATTTCGCGCGCGTTCCCGTTCGCGCCGCGATGAGGCACGGGAGTCTCGGGACGAGCGGAACGTTCCGCGATTTGACACAAACGAGACGAAACGCGAACATTTCGGCAAGGAGGGCGGGAGGGAAAGCAGCGGGAGAGAGAGAAAGCGAGAGAAAGAGATTGGGGGAGAGTTCGTGCGGGTTTGATTTTTATCGAGGGGGACGGGGGGACGTTGCAATTTCACGGGGGGAACAAGAACTATACTGGACGCGGATTCGAGCTTGTCGCGAATGTCGCGATCATCCATGAAGATCTCGCGCGGGTCGAGATCGCGGAAATCGCGCGCGAGAGAGAGAGAGAGATCGCGCGCAAGAGGGCGAGGGGGGCGGGAAGGGGGTGGAGCAGGGAGACGCGAGGAACGCGCGGAACGCGAACCGCCACCGCCACCAGTGTTGTCGACGAGAAGGGTCGACACCGTCGACTCGAGGAGGCGATCGGATCGGAGTAGTGCTTCTACGCTCTTTTACCCCTCCCCTCCCCCAACTCCCCCCCCAGCGGACGGCAGGCACGGGGGCCGAGAGGAAACGTCGCGAGAGCGAGCGAGCGAGCGAAAACGGACGGACGGACTCGGTGTAACGGCTGGTGCGCTCTGCGGACTACGCGTGTGCTCGTGTGGGCGAACGACCCGGGGGGCTCCGTGCCGGCGACAACGCGGACGCGCCACTCGGACCACAGCTCGCTCGGGGTGTAGCGAAACACATGTGTCGCGGCCGTGCGGTGTTCCCCACCGCCGCGGACTGCCGCCCGTCGCCGTACCGTCCCGCAGGCTGCACGAGGCCGTCCCGGGCTGCACGCGGACCGCGGGAGCACGGGGCGCCCGTCCCCGCGGACCTACCCGAGGACGATGCGCCGCGCGCCGACGGCGGCGGTCTAGCCACCAGCAGCAGCAGCAGAAGAAGCGGAAGACGGTAGTGCGTGCGTGGGTGGGTTGGGTGTCTCTGGCACTGGCGGAGTGGCGGCCGCCTGCCGCCGCCAACACGCTCGTCGCACACCGGATTTCACCGCGGGGGCCCCGCGAGCAGTGCAAGAACCGATACCGTATCGCGCCACAACCCGACGCGACGTCGGCAACCCTCGCCCGGAGTGAGGAACCCGGCGCCGCAGCCGCACGCCACACGCGCGCACACGTTGTATTTCCCCTCCGGAGCGAGAAGAGGAAAGGAGAGGATAAAAAAAAAAAGGAGAATGAAATATGTCGCCCCTCCGCCGTCCGCGGCATTTGACGCCGCTGCCCGCGCGCTGGTGACTCCGCTGGTACGATGACACCGCGACCGAGCCAGCGACGGATCGCACCGGAGAACGGTCACGCGTTCCTGCCCGCCAGCGAGTAAAATCCTCGGCCGTACGGTTCCGCGGCCGCGGACCGAACCGAACCTGCGTGTATACCGTCTGTCAGCCATCATGATACTCGCCCGCGAGTCGTGACTTCTGGTGTGCTCCACTATAATACTCCGACGTCCCGTCCGAGTGGCATGAGTTTTGACCGACTGTCCGCGCCGCGACACACGTGCCTCAGACTTTTGTTAATTGCAGGTCCCCGTTACGTCGGATGTTTAGTGGTGAGAGATTTCCGGAGGAGTGCGAGGATGCATCATCGCGCCGCCCGCGCCGAGGCCGAACGCCGCCGCGACGTCTCGTGCGCACGGGTCTGATTCTCTGAGAGAAAGTCAACAAGCTGCTACCTTGTTGTGTCACACGCCCGGAGAGGTCCAAGTATGAGTGGCCCAGCGGAGGAAAATGGATACCGGTAAAGTGTCAGCATGCGCGAAAAGTCAGCAGAATGTCATGCTCACACAGGTCACGTGAGGGGCACGACAGAGATGTGCTCGCGTGATCCACCTACACTGCACCCGACCCTCGCCAAGGCAAATGGTAAAAATTCGAGTCCCCAGCCAGCTCATCACACGGAGGCGCAACGTATCGACGGCAACCTGCTGCCAACTCCCGGCGGTCGCTTGAAATTCTTCAAAGATGGAAAGTTCATCCTGGAACTGTCTCACCGCAGGGACGGGGAAAAGACTACGTGGTTTCCCGTGCCGAAGAAAACCTTCTGGCCGCCCGCCAGCACCATCCCGAATCGGCAGGAGAGCTCTACTTCCCTCAGTGGTGGGTCCAAGGATGCATTCATGCGTATTATGCAAAGTTTTTTTTACATTTTGGGGATTTCTTTTGCATACGTTTATTATATTTCCAAGAATAGATTTGTAAATATTGTTTCTCAGGTCTTTTACACAAGCCAGATAACGTGTAACATCGCATTCTGTCCTCAGTTTCCGATGACAATTCGTCGGTCCAATCCAGTCCTTGGCAGAGAGATCACTGCTGGAAGCAGACCCATCCCCGACGTAGGATAACCACGGAATTCAATTTTTATTACCGTCGAAATCCGAAGACTCGATTGTGCGCGCATCTTCGCTTGATAGCGAGGAAACGCAGGCGCCCGTTAGATTCCACGACCGCGACCTCGGTTCCGGAATCGACGACGGCCTATCCAACGAGAGGGTCGCGGAAATTGAACGGCACGTCGTCGTCATTGTCGTCGTCGTCGTCGTCGTCGTCGGGCAGGTTAATTCAGATCGTCGATAAACTGGCGCGCCTGCTGGATCCTAATGTCGTGTCGCCTCGCAAACGCATCCTGCGAGAGCTGGAGAGAGTCTCGTTGGAGGATCAGGCGTCCAAGAGGCGGGCCACTCCGCAGCCGCCGGTTTGCACGACGAGTGCGCCACCGACTCCTTCCTCGAAGCAAGTGTCGTCATATAGTATAACGAGTATCCTGGGGGAGGACAAGCCGAGTCCCGAGCCAGGTTTCTTGAGGACACTGCTGAAGCCGGACGACCGGCAGCCTGTGAAATACTCATCGACTAACGCCTATCCGAGGGTACGAATCGATCCCTATATCGGGTCCAGCAATACATCCGTTCATCATCCGCTCTACGGGATACCGATGTTGCCACCTGGACCATATAGGGCGGCGCCTCTATGGATGGCGCCTCATTATCCGTCTCCCGTCCACTATTCGCCTCCTATGCACGTGTACGCACCGCCGCATTCTCATCCATCGTCCCCACATTACAAAGACTATAGGGAACAAACTCTCACACCTCCTTCAGGTATATGTTCGGTTTACTTATCATAAATATAAGTATCAGGATGAATGGGATATATTCGAAAATGTGCTCATGTCTCTATTTTTCGTTTGCAGATATGCCTCTGAATCTGTCGAAGCATTCGGGTTGAATCTCAGGATCCCAATAGAGTTGGTGCCTTACGAGTGGACAAAATACTGCGCAAACACTGCCCGTGCAACGACAATGCGATATATATTAGTATTTTTTTATTCATAAAACAATAGTATCTTAGTAAGTAGAGGAAGAGAGAGAGAGAGAGAAAGAGAGAGTGAGAGCGACAAATATGATGAAGCCAGATAGTTGGATTTTGGGAGAGCTATACTTGTACATACAAATGCATAAATTTGTCAATGGCGGCATAGGTATTTTATATTAATATTACACGCAAGATTAAAAAAAAAAAGAAGGAAAAATCGTGAGTGGTAATATACAAAAAACGTTATATAAAAAATGCAGCTGTATGTGTGTATATGTTACACATATTTTTATCGTACGCGACCTGCGAGTAAAGCCGCGTAGAAAGGAAAAAAAAAAGAAAGAGGTAAAAGAATCGGTGTGCGGTTTCTTTAATTATTTAAAACGATTGTAAACGATCCATATGTAGTCAACGCGGGAATGTATTGGCAATTGATCGAGTCATTCGTACGTTTTTTTTACTCTTTCGACATTGCTACTCTTTATTTTATATATCGCGACGAAGACGGGGGAGCGCACGCGTAAACCTGTGCAGGAGTGCAGGTCTCATCCTGTGCATCTCATTTATGCATTTTCCCGTTATTCTTATAACGTTACTGTCATTATTATCATTAATGGAAAAAAAATGGTACATTATCTTAAAGGAGTCGATAAGAAAGACATAGGATTATGTACAGAACAGATTATTGCCTCTATATCTCTAGCGTATTAATTATTCTTAAAGATAGAAATGCATAATAAATTTAGGCTCTAATAGAATATATCCACAATGGTATACAGTTATTTATACGATATTATATATAACGCAAAAAATATACGAGAGAACACAAAATTACTTTGGTAACGACCGTGGGGTGTGCCTTACAGAGAGAACTAACGAAATTCCATGAAATTAAATTATGAACGTTCTTGCGGATGTGTATTATTATAAAAAGGAGGCACTATATATTGTGTATATAATAAATATATCTTTGTGTTACGTGTATTTTTCATCAAATCGACATTCTATTCGTTGCTCTATTTATTATTAGTCAGGCGCATCGAGAAACATTTTCACGTGAAAGCAAGGCAAGCTCGCACAGGTTCTACAAATTAAGTGAGTAATTTTAATTGTTCGGCGCGTGTGTGTACGCGATTCCCTTTAGCGATTCCGACAAAAAAGTATGGAGGAGTACATATGTGACTGCGCATTAGCAATTGTATAGAAAAAGACTAATTTCGTAAATATAAATATTTCATATACTACGTACAAATATTATTTCATTTACCACGAGCTTTCCCCCAATCCAGGAATCTACAATTTTCTTTTCTAATTATTATGCTATTCGGTACTTCAATAGAAATTGTTTCTTCAATTATATTATTGTTATTTATATATAATTATTTATATATATTTATATATATTTATATATATTATTGTTATTTATATTGTTATTTATATGTATTACTTGCTCATTACGATCGCAATAATTGCTCCGTCATTTGTCTTCCGTAGCAACTATGTAAATTCATATTTGAAGGGGTAAAAGCTACAGTGGTGTAAGTAAAATTTTTTGAAATATCGACTCGTGTGCATAGATGCAATATATAAATTGCATCTATGCACACGAAACAATATTTTAAAAAATTTGACTTACACCACTATGGCTTTTACCGCTCCATTTATAATAATGTAAATTTATGGCGATTTGGCGACATAATTCAAAATAACCGCCTTTAATTTTAAACGCAGGGTGACCACTAGTGTTTCATGGCAACTGCACGTTAAAATTTAATTAAGCGCGCAAATTAACATAAGATATTAATTAGTTTCACTACAGTAATATAAAAAAAAATTAAATCTTCAAAGTGCCAATTTATTTATTATATTCAATCAAAATAGAATTTTTAGAAAAACTAGTACAAATAAAAAAAATGGCAGACCAATCGCGGGTCACCGTCTCGGGCTTCGACCAGAAAGTCTCTAGACGGGCCGTCCGGTTTTTCTTGGGTTTTTCTCGCGCGATTCCCCGGCAGATCCGCGCGGCGGCGCTCGCGCTCGCCATCGGTTATTTCTCCGTTACTCGAACGCGCCGGGGAGTGCGTTGGCTTCTCGCGACTCGCACAGGCGCGGGCGAGCGGTGCGGTGGATCGCGAGTCAAAAAGGGACGTGGTACTATCGCGACGCGGCGACCGTGGACGCCGCTCGAGAGTGTGCGAACGGGTGAGGTGGGTCTCTCGCGGACGCGGACAGCGGGACACGTAATAGGTGCGCGGTGTAACTTCGCACGGACAGGACGGACGGCCGACTCGGGGTCCCGGTGGCGGCGAGAGGCAACTCCGGCGCAGCCCCTCGGTCCGCGCGCGTTAGCGGCTCGCGCTCGCCGCCGCGACGAACGAAAATGGCGGGCCGTGTCGGCCTCGATGCTACGAGCGGCGGCAGCGGCGGTCGCCGACGACCTTGTTAGCCCCCGCGTCTAGCACGGTGACACGTGTGTGCGAGCTTGACGACGAGACGGTCGCGTGAATCGACGCCGACCGTACGGGGGATTTTCCCGCCCTCCCGGTGTGTTGCGTGCTGCGTGTCGCACGCACGCATACACGGACGGACGCACGCACGCACGCAGGAACGCACGCACGTTTCTTCACGGGTACGTACGCATTCACGCATTTACGCACGCACGCTCGCTCGTTCGTCCGTCGTCGGGTAAGCGTGTCGTTGAAAAACGGAACGAGCCGAACGGAACCGCGGAACGTTATATCTGAGTGTTGTGAATAACAGTTCGACGGTGGGCAGCACGCACATAGTACTCCGGCTCGCGGGAGAGAAGGAGACGGAGAAGACACAGGTAGCGACCGTGCGAACCCCCGCAGGTGGGAGGAAGGGAGGGCAGGAAGGAAGGAAGGAGAGAAAGAGAGAGAAAGAGACGGAGCGGAAAGAGGGAGAGACGGAGGAGGACGGAGATAGGGCAATAGAAAGAGCGAAACCCCCCCCCTCCCCTCTCCTCCCCGGGAGAGAGAGAACAGAGACAGACGGACAGAGGACGCACTGGCGGCGAGAGGCAGACGGCAACGAAAGTTTAATAGTGGCGGATCGACGATGGGCAAACAAACACGATGGAGTGAGTTCGCCGCGAGGTGTTGACCGTGCCGTTCAGGTGACGAAAGAGAGAGAAAAATACGAGTGAGTACGCGGGGAACTGCCGGAGTAAGATAGAGAGCGACGGTGATAATTAGACGGAGGGAGAGAGAGAAAGAGGGAGACAGAGAGTGCGAGAGTGCCGCGATCGGCGGCAGCGACCGCGGGGGATTGTAACACACGTTGCGGGAGGACGACGAAGTCTTGATGCCGATGCCGGCCGAATACCACGAGGGCCACAGTAACCACGAGAACGCCAATTTCGCTCTCGGGTCCACGCAGGACGCCAACGACATGACGGCCAACATGTACCGGGTGGGAGGTAAAGTATAACCGCATGCATTCCGCGGCCTGTGTTGTCCGGACTCCGGAGTCGAGGGGAACGTTGTCCGGCGACAACGACGACGATGACCGACGACGATAGCCGATGTCGATCGTCAACGTCGTCGTCGACGTCGTCGTCGTCGTCGTTTTCGTAAATTCGAGAATGTGAGAGACGAAGAGAGGGAGAGAGAGAGAGATAGCGGCTTTAATTAACTCCGAGAAATTAATGTTTGCAAATGGCATCGCAATGGCGTCCCCTATACCCTCCGCGCGCGGCGCGTTCTTCCCCCTTCCCCTCCCGCTTTTACCGCTCGCCCCCGCTCCCCGCGCGCCCTCTCTTCTTTCCACTCTTCATCTGGATCTCCCTCGTCCTCTCCGCCACCCCTCGGCCCCCCTTCTCCCCCCCCTCGGTAACGTCCCATACCTACGCTCCGGCTTTTCCCCCCCCCCTCCTCGCCCCCCCGCCTCCTCCACTCTCCCTTCTCTCTCTCTCTCTCTCTCTCTCTCTCTCTCCCCTGTCGCGTGTTTTCCCCCTGCCCTTCGTTCGCCACCTTCCTCCCCCGCATCCCCCTTCCCCCCGTGCAACCGTCCTCTCTCACGTCCAGGTCACGCTAATTTCTTACGCGACAAATCTCGCGGATCAAAATTGGATCCTGGCGATTACCGCCTGGAGCCCGCCGTATTCGTTGTATCGATGCGCCCGTACACGAGGTGCCGCGCGCTAGATCTCGGCGACGAGAGCGAGAGACCGTTTTCCCTTTCCCCTTCCTTTCGTCCTCTCACCCCTACTCTTCCCTCTCTTTTCGATTTTGTATCACCGGTAGCGACGGCAGCGGCAGCGTGCACGTCCGGCCGAAATCTCTACTTCCGCCTTGACCTCAACGAATTTTTTCGAGAATGATCTCAAAGATCTAGGAGAAGATCATTTCACCGGTCTCTCTTCCCTTTTTTCGAGAGAGGACGTCGGTTATGCCAAACGCGAGACAATTTAAAGCTCATTGAGATGGATAATTTATAGTTCTTATATACGCTTTTCTCTCGCATTTTTCTTTTTGCAAGATTGTTAATCTACGATTGCTGTTTTTTTTTTAGATTACGTGTATTTCGAGACTGCCACCTCGTCGCCGTATCAGATTAGGAGGATAGAAGAATTAAATAAGGTAAGATATTTAAGAGCGGAGTCTCTCGCGGCGCAGCAGCGGCGCTTTTGCATTTTAGCGAGAAATTTATAATGAGGATCGACCGGCTATTTATATTCATCCGTACTCTCGTATCTAAATATATTTAAGTCCTCTTAATAATGCAGATACACGCATACGCTTAAGCTGCCGTGGTTAGGCTCGGCGTTAAAAATTCGTTAAACCTTTTTTATTTTTCGTTTCCCGTTTCTTCCAGACCGCGAACGGGAATGTGGAGGCAAAAGTCATGTGTTTCTTCAGGCGGAGGGATTTGCCGGCTACCTTAGTTATGCTGGCGGACAAACATCAATGTAAGTAACACACGTCCACGCGCGCAAAAGCTATATCGTGTTATCGTGAACATTTGTAAAAGGTGTGGGAAGACCATGCGTCTCTCTCAGAGAATCTCACGTTAGTATAGAATTATTCCGATTTTTCTCCTATATATATATACGTCTCGCTTCACGCACATATTTTCACGTACGAGGAAAATAATACTTCCCTTTTTCTAGATAGCTAAAACACGCTTCCTCTCGAGAAGATCTATTCCGATATGCGATTTTGTAACAGTCTCCGGTTTTTTTTGAATTGTATACTAACGTATTACTACTAATACTAACAACCGCACGAATGCCTGCTTTCGTTAGTTGCGACACGGGAAAAAAATGGAGCGAAAATCTCCTGCCGCGTGTATCTCGCCCGTCGGAGATCGTCTCTCCTTAAGCGCGACGCTACCCCGCTCGCGGCCGGCGGTCCGGCGAAATCGCGGTTTTCGAGCGTATATGCAAAATGCGACGACACGAGCGAGACGCTGAAAATTACCATAAAGTACGAGAAGGACGAGTTAGTTTTAACGCTCGCCGGCGTACAGATCGATAACCGTTCATAGGTGAGGAAAATTCATCCGCGAGCACGGTTTCATCTCTCCAGCATGGAAGATTCTGGCCGCAATTTCCAGGCGGTATCGATTTTCTCCGCTTTGGCAATCATTATTGACGAGAGACACCTCTCTCTCGCGATACAGGCGGTACGAAAATTCGAGAGATATCGGGGGGGCAAAAGAGGAGGGAGGGGGGAAGAGCGCGTGCGACACCGCGTGCATCTGTGTGTGTGCGTGTGTGCTGTGCCGTGTAATATGACTCGCACAGAGCCGGAAGAGTCGCGAGGCGTCACTGCCTTTGCGATCGTCGCCGTATAACACGGTTGTAATCAGAAGGAGGGCGAAGAGGGGGGGGAGCTTAGTTCGATTTGCGGAATCTATCGCGGCGAAAATCTACGTAAATGTGTCTCTATTAGAGAGGAAATAACCGGTTCCCGAAAAAATTATCCTCTCGTACTCCTTCCTAGATCGATCAATCCCGGAGGATGCTTTTAGGAAGACTCGCGCTCGAGGTGCGCGCATTTCGCGCCTGGCTGATCTTGGACGCGATACGCGAGATCCGCTTACTCGTTCGATATTAATCCGTTCTCCGAGGATCGAAAAAGAAAGGATCGAAAAAATCGCGTTCCGAGGAGACACGCGAGACCATATACGAGACATACGCACGTATACGCATACAACACAGAGACGCGCAGACGCACGCACGCACGCACGCACGTATACGCACGCACGCATTTCTGTTTCGCTCGCCGCGCGCGTAGAGTTGCACATTATCCCGGGGCTTTCTCGATTTTTCCTTCGCAATGACAAAGATAATGAGACGCGGGGATTTGGGGTGGGAATGTATAATAAGTAAAGTTGCGGGGGTGGTTGGGCGGGTTGTGGGAGACGGGGGTTGTATCGATCTGCCTGGGGGGGGATGGGGGTGGACGAAAGGGGGGACGCTGGTGCACCCGCTAGGTCCCCCTTTTCCACCTCCTCATCCTCCTCCATCTCCATCTACCTCCCGGCCCTCCTCCGCCTCCTCTTCCTCCTCTACCACCCCCTTTTTCCCCCCTACACCCACTCCCGGTCCACCCACCACCCTCAACTAAATGGATGGCTGACGCAGGGGTTGCTTGGGTATATGTTACGTGTATTCCCTCACACCGACGCACACCGACACGTGTGTACGTGTGTGCCCGGGCGAAAATGGTGGGCCCCACTAGCCATCTTCGTTTTAAGCATTTGCTACCACTCTCCCCCCCCCCGCACGCGCGTCCCCCGCGCCTCGCCGGGCTCCCCCCTTTTCCCCCCGTTCTTCCTCTCCTTCTCTTCCTCTTCTCCTCTTCTTTCGCGCCCCATGTATATATATATATACATATATATATAATATATATGTACACGTTTCTCTCTCTTTGTCTGTGTTTCTGAGTATGTGTATGTATTATACATATATATATACATATATATATATATATATATATACACATGTATGTAACGGCCTCGTCGTCCATGTATATGCTTTCGTCCGGCGGTATTTGCTCCGAATTGGGTTCTCTCCCCTTTTCGTCGTATTCTCTCGCACTCTCTTTTTCTCTCTCTCTTTCTCTCTTGCTCTTCCGAGGTATGTACTTCGAATTTTCGTGTAAAAAAAAAAGGAATATACGTTTCTCCTTTGTCTTTCGCGGAAGTCGATACACACGCACTACGGGCGCTATCGCACCCGGGTGTGTCCGCGTGTGACTGCAAGCGAGAACGGAAGGGGGCGAAGGGGGTTCGAAGGAAAAGGGCTCTATGGAGAAATCGGTCGCGGCCCGTGCTCACGCCGGCCGGCCGGCGGAACGCTCGCGTACGGACCGCATTGGAAGGATCAACGGCTAATTAGACGGACGGCGAAAGTCCGGCCGAGCGTAATGAATTTTTATCTCGTTCCGCGCCCCGCGGTCGCCGGTCGATCGCGGGGTGCAAAAACGTCGCGCTGACGATCCGCCGCTGTCTCGTTCCGCGCGCGCTTTTCCATGCCGAGGAAGCGCCCGGCATGCGAAGGGCCACTCGGGCCACGCGAAAATATACGCTAATTATGGGGTATCTGTACTCCATCGCGTTATGCATACGTCCGCGAAACTCGAAATGAGGGTTCGACCGCCGGAGGTGGTATTTTGATCCACTCTCCTGCGGAGGAACGGTCAACGTGGCGTAGGTATTGATCTCGCACGTCGTTGCACGAATGAAAATACGACGTGGAGCTATGAATTGTAAATAGAAACGCGGACGGAATTGGCCGAGATAATCATGATCGCGATTTCGCACGTAACGCAATTGCGCAATCACGATTGCGCTTGATGAGCCGGACGACGTGTTCGTTCGGCCGGCGTGGAACGGAATCGATAGGATAGAAAAGCGTAAGGAACGTAAGGTGGATGACACGGTATAGAGCTCGTAAGGGCTGTAAGATATGGTATTTGCGCTTTATAGCACAGTCGTACGTATCTTCCTGCGTCCTATTCTGTACAAGATTAGAAAGACGAGAAATACGTAGAGTGGGTGTCTTGTAATGAAAATTCCAGTGGCAAGCGCGGAGCAGCAGAGGTCAGAATCCCCTGCGAGTACACAGAATCAGAAACTCGAGAATCCCGACACTACTAAGGAAATGACTAATAAAGATGGTATCGGGCCCAAAGTGATGATCAAAGGGGGCGGGAAAGGGGGCTGGCTGAAGGCCCCATTATCGGAGGCCCAAGAGCCCCATGGTGAGTGAGAGTAGTCGATCGAAAGATGACCAATTACCGACGAATCTAATCGAGCTTTTGCGTCTGCGAAACAGCGATTGCAAAAGTAGCAATTGTAAGGAAACGTATATAAACGCACATGTCTTTTCGCTTGTATAAAATGCGTACGTTTAGTTGGCATACAAAATTTAATTTTTGTACATTTTTCGAGTAATGCGAGATCAGTTTTTGAGCACAAGCATTTTTTAATACTTTACTGACAATACATTTTTAATTTATAGTCTTATAAAATTGACGTTAAAATAAATAATTATTTAAGGTAGACACAGAAATATATAAGTTATGTATTGAATTGTAAAACCTTATCTTATTTTAACATGTTATTGGTAAAATTGAAATTGATAAGTGTTTTCGTTCTCTCTCTCTCTCTCCTCTCTCTCTCTCTCTCTCTCTCTCTCTCTCACATACACACATACACACACACAAAGCGTTTAATAATGCGTAGATTCGTCGGTAAACGGCATACAACTTGCATCTTTTGATTATCTCATTAGTTTTATATAGAAGCCAGTGACGATACAAGGCTATTGATTTAGCGGCGGGATTTATCAAAATTCTTTGTAATCTTGGTGTATGTCGCGAGTCAAGGCAAATTTCACTGTAAGGCCAAAGAGACAACAAATTGGGCGTAGCCCGGGCTCCTTTCTTTTAGTTAATTGACAAGGGGTTCGGTGACTTTTATCACAAAAGTGCCCGTACAAATCATTCATTCGCGTTCATTCACAATCACATTCTTATAAATACCTCGCCCAGTATTATTGATTTTTCGTATTTATTCAACTTCTTATATTTAGAACAGTAGATTTTCTCGCGAACATCTTATTTATCAGCATCTTTATCGTATCGCCAGCTTTAAATATTCTCGATCCTCCCGTTAGTCCAGCTAGAATCTCGTCGACGTGGCACACCTTCACCTATCATTCACATATGCATAAAAAGAAGAATCCCGCCGCATTACATATGATGACACTTTAGTAATCTGAGGCTTCTTTAAACGACGTAATTTTTTATCGACAGTTAATCGCCTTTCCGTTGTAGATTATTGTTTTTGCCTTGCAATTTTTCTTCGTTTGCCTTTATGTTGCCCGCTCTTGCTGATGTTTCTCTTTTTGGTTCAATACCACGCTCGAGTTTTCATTGATTCTGCCGTATCCCCGCATTTCATTTACTTCAATACTTTAACTTCCTGCGAAATAGATGAGACGAGTAAGAGATTAATTAAAAAGATAATGCTGTAGGTACTCAGGACGTACGTTAGTCTTGGGTTAACCGAAAGCTACAAGACGTCGCGTGAATTAACTTCCACTCGATACCAAATCGATATAGAATTTTATTACAAAAATTATTAAGACAATTAGTTAAAGGTACGAGCGACAAAGATGATAATGAAAAATAAAAATAGCTTCATGGATGTTCAAGTATGAGGATTTAAGCATTTCGTCTCCTCGCGTGTTTAGCCTTTATGTTTATCTTCTTTATATTTATATTTCGATAGGCTTTACCGTTATTGCATACCTCTTCTGCATGTTTTTTAGAAAATAATCTTTTCCTTATAGTGATGTGACTGCTTTCAATCGATATATATATTAATGAAAAGTAAAGTGCAACAATTTATATGGTTTCAAGTTTTAAAATTATTTGCTTAGAAAATTAAATGTATTATTTTATAAATATATGAGTATTCAGCTTTTTTAACTTTTTCATTGTTGATAACATATTCTTTTTTTTTCTGTTATTCGAACTTATATTGATTTACACAATGATATTTTATCTCATGAGATACACGAATATTATTTCGCTTTTATTTCGTCGTGTATAGGGATGGAAGAAAGTGTTCCTGGAGGAGTAACGGAGTTAAGTTCTAAGCAACGTCACCAAATGAAACACAGGGAACTGTTTTTATCGCGGCAAGTGGAGACGATGCCCGCCACGCACATTAGGGGCAAATGCTGCGTTACGTTATTGAATGAAACCGAATCCTTGACGAGCTACCTGAACAAGGAGGATTCGTTTTTTTATTGCTTAGTATTTGATCCTGCTCAACGTACTTTGCTTGCTGACAAAGGTAAGATATCAAGGTGCACATTTCTATTACGAGCGATATACGAGAAACGAATCGAGATTAACTTAATACTTGTTATGTTGTAGGCGAAATTAGAGTAGGTAATAGATATCAAGCAACAGATATACCGGCGGTTTTGACGCTTGCGGAGAGAGAGGCGGATTCTCGCAGGTTACAAGACTTGGAGACCTTGGTTTGGACTCCGAGACACAATTTGACAGATCGTCAAATTGATCAATTCCTCGTCGTTAGCAGATCAGTAGGCACCTTCGCGAGAGCCTTAGACTGTTCGTCCTCCATTAAGCAGCCCTCCTTGCATATGTCCGCAGCTGCTGCATCTAGAGACATCACTCTGGTGAGGGACGTTCCGTTTGGCGCATGTTCTGCGGGCAGATAAATATAAATAGATAAATGAATGTTCTCTTACAGAGAGTATTGTGTCATTAAATTTTGTCAATTGTATTGCAGTTTCACGCGATGGATACATTGCACCTGCATGCCTATGACTTATCGAATGCCTTAGCGTCTCTAGTACCTAGCACCGGCCCCGTATTGTGCCGGGACGAGATGGAAGAATGGAGCGCGTCCGAGGCGAATCTGTTCGAAGAGGCGCTCGAGAAATATGGGAAGGATTTCGCCGACATACGAGCGGACTTTGTGAGCGCGAATTAATACATATGAATGAATAAGAACGTAGCTACATTTGAGCAGGTTTATTAACGTACGTTTCTTATGTCTTCCAGTTACCGTGGAAAACGCTGAAGAATGTAATTGAGTACTATTACATGTGGAAAACGACGGATCGGTATGTCCAACAGAAAAGAGTAAAAGCTGTAGAGGCGGAAAGTAAACTGAAGCAGGTATACATACCGAATTACAACAAGAGTCCCGCGTCGACAACCGCTCCTTCCACCGCCACGATTGTACCTCTGGGCAATAGTAACAACAACAACAACGGAAAGCCGACCAGCATTTTGAACGGTAATAGTAACGGCAGTATGGTGGGCGACAATTCTGGAATACTTATGGTCGGAGTCGGTGGGAAGCCATGCGAGAGTTGTCAAGTCGTCCAAAGTCCACAGTGGTATGCCTGGGGACCACCGCACATGCAGTACCGTCTCTGTCAACCCTGTTGGACATATTGGAAGAAGTACGGAGGGCTCAAGGTATGCGTACGATCACTTCAACGAGATTGTCGCGGTAATGACGAACTTGTACATCTCATGCCACTTTCTCTTTGCCACGAAATAGGTGCCGTCGCGCATAGACGACGTCGATCTCGAAAGGAAACGTGCTGGCGCCGGATCGGATGAAGAGAGCAAAGGGGTGGGCGGCGCGCACAGGCCGCATCGATGCAGCATTCCCACCTGTGGCAAGGAGTTCAAACTGAAGGCTCACCTGAGCCGTCACTATGCGAGCGCACATGGAGTGGATCTGCGCGGCGCCGCCGGAAGCGGCGGCGGCGGCGGCGGATCGCCGCGACCGGTCATGAAGACCCGGTCCGCATTCTACTTGCGCACCTCCTTGTTGGCGCGTGCCGCGCGACGTCTGTGCGCTGTGCAATTGCGCACACGTCACGCCGCGCGGGCGCCCCATCAGCCGGTGAATGCCGCGCCGTTGCGGCACCTATGCGCCCAGCTAGCATCCAAGACACCTTCGGAGCTACGTCTCCTTTCACGCGCCGTACGACTTCGGACGCGTCCTAAAGTGATCGACATCGCCTCGCGCCTAGGCGATCATCCAGCACCACGGCAACCCGGCGACTGGGACTGGCTGACATTGACTTCCCCGGCGCAACGCAAGCAGCCCGATCGAGTCTCATTTCCACGTCCGCCAAAAGCACCGGGTACATAACATGCATTTATTTTATATATATACATGATTTAAAAAATTAGACAAAAATCAGGTAAGGTATGTAAGATCTTTTGAGATGGTAGTCTTGACAAGTTTTTCAGTAATAAAGAAATGAAGTAGGTATATACCTGTAATATATTGTTAAGAAGAACGCGATGATTTTTTGTTTGTTGTATTGGGAATATTACTCATTATATTATCTCATTATTTATCCAACATTTTTTATTATTTCAATTTACTCTATGTATACTATAATTACAACACGATTATAAGTATATAATACATGCTAATGATGCATATACAACAGAATATTTTCGTATTCCGTCTTATTTGAGATAATTTTACACGAAGCAGAAAGAAATTACACTACAAAGTATTTGTATTACTGATAAAACCAGAGATAATTTAGTTAATTACCTTCATATACATATGTGTATGACACACATTATCTGATCACAAAGTATTAACGTTTTAGATGGCAGTCTTTTATACGAGAGGGTACCAAACAAGCCTGAGGTGGACAGGCTCACGTTGACGCCACCCCAGCCGCAGCCTGTCATGTCGACCCAGCAGAATATCTTGAAACGCCCAAGACCGTTCGACGAAATCAACGGTTCAGATGGTAAGTTTCACTATCACGCTCAATGCGCTTAATATCATTCGTGTTTCATTACGATTGAAAGATAATTTTATGCAAATGCAAGATTTTTTTATTGATTAATGGTAACAATAATAATTAATTCTTGGATAGGGAATATCCAAACAAAATACCTTTTTCGTTTATATAAACTGTTATTATAAGTAATGAAAAAAAAAAAAAGAAGATTTTTATGTGCATCTCAATAAAGCGTCTAAGCAAGAATCTGTTTAAATAATTTTTATGTAGAAATATTAGCCAGACAAGATCTTATATCTCAATAGCGATTAGTACCTGACAAATGGGACTTTTATAATCGTGTATTAATACACATTAAATAATTTAGAAAAGCATATTTTTTTGACGTGATATTAATATTGATAATCGTTAACACGCCATGAAGATATCTTGCAAGTACGATTATATATCAAAGTAACTGAAGTGTTCTTTAAAATTGTCACGAGTCTTTGTCTTTTCGTTTCTAGGTATCGCCCTGAACGCAGGGCTCCCTTCTGGCGCACCACCCACGAAAAGAACTCATCATCCACAGCAACTGCATCCGAAGCACACGCTGGAGCACCCCGCGCCCGCAGTTCTTCCTCTTGCGCCACCTCTCAATGGTAGGGCTTCTCATCCACATACGCTGCCTCATGGTCCACCGCTATCCAGAAGTAACGCGCGTAAACAAGTCATGTCGTGGATGGATGCGCCTGATGATGTCTACTTCCGCGCCACCGAACAGATCAAGTTAGTATAAAAAGTCAGATGATCGAAGACAAGCATAAATCTCGAGGAATAATCAATGTAAAGAATGTAAAGAAATTTTTAAAAAATCTCTGATTATAACATTTATTAATTACGTAATGAAAATAATTTCAAAGAAGTAAGATAATGCAAAAAAAAATACAATAATTTTTTATCTTAATTCTTAATGTTTTAATAATCATGATTATATGGTAATAACGCATGCATTTGCTATGCTAATTCTTCTAATTTACCGAATTGCAGAAGAGCCAGAAGAGCCCTGTCCTCGGTAGAGTTACGAAGAGCGGCACGCAAACCGTGGCGCAGAATGTCGCTTCCCCTGAATCCGCTTCACCTCCAAAGAGCAGGTCGTCAAGATGACATGGTTGTTATCTTGGATTGAATCCGCACAATCAGGACGAACACAATCGGACGATATTGTATTGTCGGTTCACTAATTGCAAAGCGTGACGCTGTTAACGTAATCTTTAATCAAGTGAAGTTACATATAGTGAAGATCACAGTTTTGTGTATTGTCATCGATAGCTCCGATCGAGCAACAATCGTTAACTTTAGAATCGGAAGATTTCGAAAGCTCCTCCATGACGAGATTTCTTTTTTTTCTCTTGGAAGACGAGCAAATCGTGTGGTAATAGAAAAGAAAGGCCTCGCTTGACCGAACGTGTATGTTGAACAATCGAGAACATCGTTGAACTGTAACGACTTCACTACTTATGGAGTACTATTGAAGAATTAATGTTCAGCGAACTAAGTCATTCAACGTGAAACATGATTTTCTATCCGTATTAATTATTGTTGTTATTAATAATAATTATTAATAATTGAATGTACATATACATTATACTACACACATAGCCATGCAACATAACACACAGCTATGCGACACGACAAACACAATACACACATATACACACATTTCACAAACACACTCTTAATATATACATGGACACATCCAAGTACCAAAATTTGGTATGAATTTAATAGCGATAAAAAAATATTGGCCGATATCTGCGGATAAGCTCATGAACAGTTGTGCGCAGAACACACAATGGTAGTACAATTTTCGAATAACATTTGGAACGGAGTATATTTCTAAGTATAACATACTTCCAAATCGATACCAATATGTTTTTCGGAAGTTAATTACTCGAGCGTTGTATTTTCTGAGCGCAACTAACGTTACGGCCGTGCAGGTAAAAGAGACGAATGTCTGATCGGAAGCGAATGCGTTAGGGAGAAAAAGAGTAAGCGAGAGAGAGAGAGAGAGAAAGAGAGTGTGCGCGAGAGAATATGTAACCGAGCGAGAGAACATGTAACCAAGTGAGAGAATATGTAATCGAGTGAGAGAGAATGAATTAGTACGTATGGGAGACAGAAAGAAGGAGTGCTCACTGTGAATATTTTTATTAAATTTTCAAGTTTGATGACTTCCGTCTAAAAAATTAATAAATAAACATAAGCATAAGTGAAAACAGTATCCTAATCGTTCTCGGCTGCCGTTGATTCTTGTTCCAAAAAAGTTTAACTGCATGCGAAAGGCTTCGTTGTCGCGATACCATCGAATTTCCCGTGTTTAACGAATTTTCCCCAACTCTTCCTCGTTCTATCCCTGAAGCGATGAAATAATTTCGACTTTCGTTTCTACGTTGAATAATATCGCGATTAGTTTGTCTTTCGCCCGTGAGAAATTGTCGGGATTATTTCGCAAAGTATTTGTTTGTGAGTACTCTTGATTCACGAGTACTCACAAACGAATACTTTGCGAATACGAGTCGTGAGTATTCGCTTATATAAAAGCTTATATGTTCTCCAAGAGAATCATTGGTCTTAAATAAATGATTTTACTCAGAATCGAGAATCGCGCGCATGTTAATAGAACGAATGTAATAGAACTTAATTAATTATTGATCATTAGATTTAAAGAAACTATAAATCGATCTAAAAAAGATGAAGGAATGGAAAGACCGATGATGGATAACGCAACATGTTAGTTACCTTCTGCAATATATGTCTGTTCCTGTTTTATCATGAAGCGGTCAACGCAAATGTTTTAAAAATCTTTAGTATCCACATCGTTTTAACAATAATATAATTTTTTCTACCGGAAATAAGTTGGCGCTGGAATATTTTTTAATACGATTGCTCCTTCAGAATCAAGAATTGTGTTTCCCTTTCAAAATTTTTATTTTTTTAATATTTAAAATAAAAAAAATTTTATAATTTTCACTCAAAAACATTTCTAATAGCTTTGTGCAACTAAAGGCTAATTTATGATGGCCGTAACCGTTCATTTAAGCCGTAAGCTCGTCACTCCTCGTTGTTTTGCGAATTAATATAATAATATAATATAATTAGTAATAAATTTAAATATTAAAGAGAGAGAGGAAGAGAGAGGTAGGGGGAGGAAGAGAAAGAAAGCATTTTTTCAATATTATATAACATTATTAAAATATTGGAAAATCATTAATACATTATAATTTGCAATAATGTTTCTCTTATTTCCACTTTAACATCACAGAGAAATCTCAAGATGTATGTCAAACTTTATTTATTATATATATATTATATATGTATGACATTATATAGAAATAACTTATTTTAAAACGTTACATGGTGTTGAATATTATTGCAATGATATTGCGTTAATGATTTTTTGTTTACTGGGAATGTTCTTTGAAGTAGTCCAGATCATGATATAAATATTGTAAATAAAAGAAATTAATAAATTCTAATTTTTAAAAAATGTCTGAAGTTATAATTTGCTTTATCTAATTTCTAGCTATATTCTATATTATAAGATTATATACCATACTATATTTTATACATATACTATACTATACTATAAGAGAAATATTTTGTATAATGCATATTTTATTATATATTCGAACATTACAGAACGTTACAGTAATTTTCTCTTGATAATATTTGAGGCAGCTTCCTTCCTATACCAATGCGAGTAAATGAACGACAAGTAAATGGAACATCGATCAGTATTCCTGTTTCGTGTCAAAATGTCAAAATAAAAACTTTTTCTTCTTCTCTTTCAAGTTTTTAAATCTTCTTCTAACTAAAAAATAGAGACGCATACTATTCTACCTACAGCCAGTAATGTCAGAAGTGAAACGCGGTTCCGTCGAAATGGAGATGGAGGGGATACGCACACAAAAGAGAAGCCAGGTTGTATGCAATCAACGTTGCATCTCTTTTGTATGAGTATCTCCTTCATCTCTCCCGTTTCAAGCTAGGCTGCATCTCATTTCTGGCATCAGTGCCTGCAGCTCGACATTATCGATTTCACACATTTAGATTCAACAGAACATTTGAGGTGATTTCTTCTCTATCGACATCAAGTTTAAACAAATAATCGAAGATTTTTGTATTCTGTATATAATAATTATTAAAATAAAAGCCTTCCCTCCTTTCTCGGGTTTTCAAACAATACATATATCTCTGCCACAAATAAAAGCTTGCAAGTCCTTTGCCTGTGATGACAATACAGATTTCACACTTTCAGACCTGCTCTACCTACGCCTAAAGCGTCATCCTCTCTGTTACCACTATGCATGTAAACAGAACACCGAAACTTTTCATTCTATCGTAAAATAATCATCAAAATAAAAAAACCTTTTCCACTTCTCGCGTGAAGAAATCTCGAACCAAAAAACCTCAAGTTTTTCTTTTTCTTTGGATTGAGATCTTCAAATGTCTGTGAGTGTTTTTCGCCAAAAAAGCCAGCTTCCCGTAAAGACCTTTACCAAACAATACTCACCTTTACTCGTAAACAAATATCCATTTTAAAAGCTTCCGATAAGTATTCAATGCTTCTATTACCTGCATTCCACTTGATGCTGCCACCTACTGTACTTTCCCATGAGACGTGATACCACGGCGTGATACACTTGCCGCTTGCCGCATCGCGTTGCCGTAGCGACCGTGGCTTGTTTGCATGTCGATGCGAATTCGAATCGCGGTATCGTAATCGTGCTAATAAACATTCGCGGTCGGTCGGTTGGTCAAACGCGCATTTTCACACCCCACGTCGGACCTCGGTACTTTCGGACAATCGAATTACCATCGCAATGAACGACGTCGTGACGAGTCACGAATTTGACGATCTCCGTTCGTCGCTGTCGGGTGAACATCCAAGGGATGAGAGACAGGGGAAAGGGAAACCCGTTCGTACCGTTGAGGAGATCCTGCGGCGAGTGCAACGCGAATTGTGTCTAATCAAGTTATGTTGGCCGGATGTATCGACAATCACGGAGGATCTCTATGCGCGATCACTTCCGGACAGTTATCGTTGCGTCAGCGACAAGGAGCGACTGCTGCTGTGGTACGCGGAGAACTTCCGCCGGCAGATTCATGCGAAATACGCGAATCGCCGACCGTTATTGTTGGCCTGCGAGAACGAATGTCGTGTACAAGTGGGTAAAATTTAATCTCGAAAGAGCAATATCAATTCTTATTTAGTAATACCGGCCTCTTGATGTAAATCAATGTAATAAAAGCAAAGTCTTCGTTTCTATCTTAATTATTACGTACATCTTATGTTAAATGAGTCAAATTATTTCCCTTCTTTCTTCAAATTAGTAGGACCCGATAAATCGTGCAATACCGGTTATAGAAGATAAAAAGCAGGGCATATTAATTGAGAGTTTATTTTATAAAAGCTGTAAAAGTTTTGTAACTATTTTGTGTGTCGAGAGTTTTGCAAAGCAACTTGATTCTTTGTATTTGCAATTGACAAATACTACAAGTAAAGATTGTTATAGGAAGAATGTTATAAGTCTGGCCAATGGAACACAAAATCAGCTGATTGAAAAGTCAGCTGTTTGTAATATCAGCTGATCGCAACATCAGCTGATCATACGTCCTATACTATTGCATAGTTAAAATATGTGAAATCACATGGTATTAGAAAAAATTGTTTGAAATGCCATTAAAAGTTCCTCTAGACAATTTGTAATTCGTGATAGAATTTAAAGTATAAATTTCATATATAATTTTTATGCTGTATAATGCAAGAAACAATTGAGGGGAAATTGAAATACATTTATCTATCAAATATATATTAAGATATGTAGTATGTACATGCATCATTATAGATGACGTATTAGGAAATAGAATTTTGATAATATTTAATTTAGCATATGACTCATTAATTTTTATTAAAAATAATAAGAACTTACATAGTTTTCTAAGGATTAATGGATCTTAAATATTAAGACAAATTATTTTTACATTTTTATCTTTATTTTTTGTATTTTTTTTCCTTTTTAATTTGCTCTTAAATTCCGTACAAAGTTATCGTTCATTTTACAAAAATCAAAGTGTCAGAAATAAAATGTCTACACAGACCACAATCAAATATCATCATTAAAATACGAGAAATTCATATACTTAAATTGTCCTAATTAAGTTTCGTTCAATTTCTTATAATAGTCCGCAATTTCTTATAATAATAACGAAAACTTATACGTGAACGCTGATTACAAAATTCCATGCAATACAAAACTGGAAATTGTTACTGGAGTTGGGCGTACATTCGGAAGATAGACGCAAAACCGAGAGGAGAGATTTCGCGTTAAGTACGCGATTTGTGGGTTGCGCGGTTAAAATTGTGTCAATAATATATCTCGGTAAAGAGTCTTTATGTGCAATAATCATTTTGCATAAAAAGATATATCGAATGATTTAAGATTCGCTTTGCACTTGCCTCTCCAGCTTCTCGTACTTTAATACGACAAATTTTACTATGACAAAAATAAAAAATATTTTGAAAAACATTAGAAACAAAATATCGAACTACATATCTAAAAAATTCAAAGATGTTTTTAAAAATATTACTAAAAATCGGTTTTTAATTGCGTCACTTGTGCAATTTTATAAGTATCTCACATCGTTATGATTACATTTTGTACGCGCTTTTACAACAGTTTTACACGTCAGTACTGATCGAGATAATCGCGTATGAAGTAACGCGATAGATTCGAATATTTTTACAATAAATCGCCTATACCAATTAGCACATAAGTGCAAGTTTCAGTCTTATTTGTAAGTCACAGCTCGACTGGATTCCTTTGGTATATGAATTTTCATATATTTACATCATAAAATTATATCCTTAAAACTATATTGTACAATATTACGCTACGTGATTTAATTAATAGAGTATTAATCGTATGTCCAGCATTAGCGTTTTATCTAAATAAAAAGAAAAATTGAGAAAAATTTACTTAAAAATATTTACATAAAAGTTAAGAAAAAATATAAAAAAGAAATTAATTTTTTATTTTTTACACATTTTCAAGAAATTTTAAATTTTTTAAATATTTTCTACATCTCATTTTTAAATTTTTTAAAAATATTTTTTTTGTTTTTTAAATGTTTTTTTTTTATTTTTCTCATGTTATTAAAATTTGTCATATTAGAGTCGAAAAACTGGAAAAGGAAATACAACGCGAATATTCAAAATACTAATGCGGTACACAGGATTGCTACCGTATTAACTAAATATGATATTCAACTATTACTATTAATTTATTGTAAAAACATTCGCAGTATATATAAAGGAATGTGCAACTAATTTTTAAAACTTTTTGAATTTTTGTTTTGGTTATGTAACAGAAGAAAAGAAAATTTCTCTATCGTATATCTTCATACGCAATCATTTCACAGAAACAGTTGTACGTAATATGGCTTGAATGTACGTAAATGTTTAACTTAATTCCCAATTTTTAGTTAATACGATAAAAGTAATAGAAATATTTAATAATATAAAAGAGGAACGCAAAAAATATATCTTACGCTGCGACAACTATAGAATGGATCTTTTCTACTTTGCGTAGAAATTTGTATCTACCAATATGAAACGAAGTACGTTGCCGTATCCGGAACTATACACGTGGCGTGGATGTGTAAAATTCATCAGCGATCACATCGAATATCAGCCATTAGACGAAGCTTTTACTATGGTAAGTCAACAAACCTTCTAAGGTTTAATCCAATCTAAGATTTTCTTTTATACGTTTCCTCTTTCAATTTCTTTATCATTGCGCGCAATCCGGGTTATTTCAATGCCAATGTCGTCTTAATTTGAAACAAAACCTGATCCTTTCGAAAATAATAAATTTCTAAACATAAAAGTAACTACCCTAAGAGGTAGAAAAATATAGGAAAAGGTGCACCTGCGGGATCTTTGAACATCGCGTCCGCGTTTCGTCAAACACATTCTGCAAGACGCTAATAAAACAAGGAAAAATGAAGTAATAAATGGCGGATCCATCATATCTATACTAATATATATAATATGTACATACACGATTATACCAGATCCGCTATTTATTGTCCCCATTTCTTGTGCACCGCGTACGCAAACGCTTTCTCATATACACAAATGTACACACAATCACACACATATTTACCTACATACATGTACATATAATTTTGTACAATTCTTTCTATATACTAATTTATTTATAAGTTATTCACACGTCACTTTCTCCGTTGTTTCAGCTAGCTCGTACCGTTACTCTTTTCCTTTGACTCAATTTCCTTCGATTCCGCCCAGGTCGACATGTTTTTTAAAATATCCCTTATCTGAATCACTTGGCGGAAGGTACAGATGGCAGATCCATATTTTTGTAACCAATCTGCGAATTTAGTACCGTACTCTAACACGACAGCAAATTCCGGCGGAAGGGAGTTTTCAGATGTTTCGTTGTCAACATGGTCGACATTATTATTGTTATTGTTCATCGCATTATTGGCTAGTATTTCTGCAATACTACACTCTGACTGTCCGGCACCTGGTTGACGTAGTTGACGTAATATGTCATCAAGTTTTTTACAGTCTTTGGACGATTTTGAATTATTCGCCACACTGCCGTTGCTCGCCGATGTTGATGGCATAGGGGAGGCACGATTGTTCGTCGGTTGGGAGATGCTTCCGGACGGTTTCTCCGCATTCGGCGATTGATTGTTTTGTCTCCTCGCTGTGACTCTCGGCGGTATCTCCGCAGTTGGTGCAATTCCATGAGTGTTGTACCTTCTTTTGCCGTTAATTAGCGCATTGCTAGTAGGCAACATATTCCCCATTGACATCGCCATCGTGCTACCCATCGCACCGTTGTTCCTATGCAAACTCTCAAGAAGATTCACGGCAGGCGCTAAGTATGCGGAGTGAGAAGAAGAAGTACCTCTCGTCATAAACGAGTTAAGTGCGGCTAGAGTCTTCTCATCGCCCAGCGTGAGCATATTATAGAGAAATGTAGGATTAGTTAACAATGGATTTAGATCAGTGATTAAAGGTGTTCGAGCCGATGTCGACATGTTATTCATGGTATTCATGTTAATTGCAGCGGCAGCGGCAACGGATGTCAAATTGTTCTCCATTTTTGGTCGCTTTGGCGCTGGCCCGGCCTCAGGCTCCTCGTTGACTCTCTCTGCAACTCCACAAGTCGACATTCCCATTGTGTTTTGGGTTGGCGTTGACCGTGATGAGGATCCCGCTCGACTATTATCACTGTTCTCCGAACTGGACGTCAAAATATGATCGTAGGTCCCCGTAGTTCTTACATTATTTAATTGAGCGCGGATTTTGTCTTCCGCCTTACACCATCCCCGTAAAGTTGATTCGGGCACACCGATATCACGTGCCACAGCCGCTTTGGATTCTCCACCGTGCACTCTGCCGATAGCATCCATTTTTTCTTGTGGCGTCATTGCTCTCATCGGTCGCTTGCCCGCCGATCTCGACGATTCGTTCCGCGGCATCGTTTGTCTGGACGATTGACTCGTACTAGGACCAGGATCGCTGACGTTTAGAGTATCGTATCCTGACAAGTTGTAATTTGGACGATAGCTTAAACTATGCTGTCGACGCTCGCGAGTTTGTCTACGATCCCTCCGATCCGTAGCTCCCCCCGCTTCAGGGGAGAGATCCACGGCGGCTTCTTGTGAATGATCCAGGTTGCTGTCAAGAGTTCTTCGCAATGACGTTACACTCCGACACCCGGATTTCGCGTTCGTTGATCCACTTGCCCTCTTCACTCGATAACTCGAACAATTTTTAGACCATTCGCACCATTCAACTTAGTCTATTATCGGGTCGCGCGTAAGGATACATAAAAAAAGAAATTTAAATTATGCGTTCGTTTTGAGATCGACACATGCACACTAAATTTCTCTCCGGACGATGAACGCGAAGATGACTGGCACGGATGCGGAGATGAAAACGGAACGATCCGTACGCTGCGCTGCCGGTGCGGCGTGTGGCGCCGATTCGTATCTCGCACAGTAGTAAATAATACTGTGTGTAAACGCGGTTACGCCGTCGCAGCCGGTCGGGGGAGTAGTAGTACTCGTTCCTCCTCCGTGGTGGAATAGCACATGCGCTCACAGAGAGTAATAAAGAACTTTTTTATGAATGAAACAACTCGGTCGGTCGGTCGGGCGGCTACAACCACCACCTCTTCTCTCTTTCTCTCTCTCTCACTTCTTCTCCCCTCCTACGCGTTCTCCTGCCCTCCGTCGAAGCAAGGCTCTGCTGCCGCTGGCTGCTCTACACCTTACCGCTTCGCCGCTCCACCGCTGCTCCTCTCCCGTTGACGGCGCTAGCGCGAGTAAAACGAAGCGTGTTCGTGCTCCCCGGCGCTCCTCTCCGCTCCACGGTTGCGACTGCACCAGCCAATCCGCACTGCGCGCGGGAAACGATATTATTGCTGTACCACGCGGAATCGCATGGTTGGGGTGGTAGTCGGAGCGTGAGCGAGATAGACGAAACGGGTGAAATGGAGACGGCGATAGGCACATACGTTCCGGCACGAGAGATCGCGCACCGGCCCGAAGATCAGTTTTCGCCGGCGCGCTCGTCGTCGTTGTCCGAGAACGTCTGTTTTGATTCGCGAAATTCGCGAACGCGACGGGTCGCGACCGCGTAAAACCGTCCGTTTCGCGGGCTTCGTCTGGCTTCGCGTTCTTTCTCTGCGTTCGCAACGTCCAAGTTCCTCGTCGCCTAGTCGCGTCGTTCGCGAGCGAGATTGAGCACGATCGCGAACAAAAGGAGGTAAACACACCGATTACGCCGCGTTCTCGCGTCGTCGCGGATACGATTGACTTGACTATCGCGGGGATGCGACTGACTTGACTATCATGAGCGCGATTGATTTGCTCTGGGAAAAATAAAAACGGAAATAATTCACTTTGGCGCCTACGATTACGCGTAACTAAAAATTGTAATTAGCTATTCTATCTATTTCAAAGATTTTTAAGTTATACTATTCTTTTAATTCTCTCAATTAGTTCTGTCCATATTCAGTTACGTAAAAATAATTTTCACTTAAGGGGAATTAACTAAAATGTTAATTAGAGTTACGATATTTAAATAATTTGATTATCTAAAATCACGGGCGCGATTGACTTAACTAGCACGGGCACGATTGACTTGACTATCGCGGGCGCAATTGACTTAATTACCGCGGACGCAATTGACTTGACCGCGAGGGAAAGCGCGGACTAAAAACTCGTAACACCCTTAACGCGCGATCCACACTCCGACTCCAAAATAATAAAATTGCCACTCACCACTCCAAGTGTCCACCGTCGAAGGGATTAACTCGTGTTGACTCCTCGCCCCAATCGTACGCTTAAATTGTGTATCCCACGAGATTACCAATGCACTTCGGCACTGCGTCGACTTTGGCTGCCCTTTGGCAAGACTCAAACTGAGACTGACTCCGATATGTCCGCTATGCGAACTATCACTACCCTGTCACAATACTACCGGTATCTTGTACTACCGCGTACACTCGGCTCCTCATGTCGCAGCCGAATACGAACCGCAACTAAACGCAGCGAACTCCGCGGCTCCGCGTCTGCTGCCGAGGCGGTCGACTGGTCAGCGAGGCTCCCCTCCATCTCCTGCTGCGCGCTACGTCAGGATACATTTTGCGCGCATTCCCACTCTTCTCACCAACGGCGCGAGGAAACCGTCCCTCCCCTGCCTTCGCGTTCGCGAATTGTCTCCCTTCCTGTGCCCTTCGTCGGACCGTTTTCGGCCTCTTTTCTCTCTGTCACTTGACCCATCGACAATGACGAGGAGAAGGATTTCGCTGTTCGACTCTGCGACGAGAGTGTCCGTGGATTCTTTACCTTATAGACTCAGAAATCGTCAGGAACCTAGGAAATCGTCCGGACCCAAAAAGATTGAAATGATTAAAAAAAATAAACTCGTAAATCGGAGAAATTTTTCTCTCCCGATTCTACTCTACATTATATCTCTTTTTATTACTAGCAGCATTTATCAATTATTTAACGCACAAAATGATTCAAGCTCGAATCTGTCCACAATTATATTTACATTATATTTAAGAGTTTTTAGATAGATCAATCAACCGTTTTAAATAATACTTTGAAATTGTCGAGACAGTTTCGTGAGTCACGCATTGTACGCGGAAAGAACGAGAAACGCGTGTCCGTCGGCACGAAACGGACCACTCTCATGCTTTAGGTACATAGAAAATTACATAAGAAATTTCCGTAATATTTATAACATTTGCCGAGGTTTGCCGGTCTTTTGTGCGAAGATATGAAAGCTCAACAGAGAGAGAAAGAGAGAGAGAGAGAGAGAGAGAGGGTCAGAGGATGTCGGATGCAGCAAAACCCTTAAATCCTTCCCGCCACCTCCGCCAGCAATCCCCGAGGGAGAGCCGGATTTACGAGCGCGCGGCCTAAAATCCGTACGAGCATTCGACGCGGAGTTACACCGGGCGCGGCGCGGCGCAGCGCGGCCAGGCGCGGCAAGGCGAGGCGAGGCGAGGCGAAACCGGGCGAGGCGCGGTAAGGAGAACTCGCTCTCGCGATAATTCGCGGGTAAATTTACCGCGAGTAACCGTCGCGCGCGCACGAACGCGAATACGCGACAAGTGTGTACCTGTACGCGCCCCGATATCCCGCGGCCTCGTCGGCGATACACGCGCGAGGACCGACCGCATTTCGTCACGTATGCCAGCTCGTTTTTCACCGCGCGATGGTAGCGCGGAGAAAGAGAAAGAGAGCGAGAGAGAGAGAGAGAGAGAGAGAGAGAGAGAGAGAGAGAGAGAAAGAGAGAGAGAGAGAAAAGAGAAAGAGAGAGAGAGAGAGGCGTCCTACTCTCGATAATTATCGCTGTCCCCGCGCACGTTTAGGATTTCAGAGCTACAACTTTGCTAGAATCTCGGATGAAAGCGTATCGCGGCAATGACGAGCACGAGGACGACCGCGTGCGCCTTTTTCAGACGTCCTTGGGGTCTATTATTATTGTTATTATTCTAATGACAATATTTATTAAACCTATAAATAACGTCTTAAAAAAGAGAGCCCTAAAAAAAACACTATTTTGTGTATGTGTGTGTGTGGGTGTGTGTGTGTTTGCGTGCGTGCGTGCGTGCGTTCGCGCGTAACATGTAACATAAAAGTTTGGAGTCTGTATGCTAGCGGTAGAAAGCAACGGCGAAAATTTTCGTGTGTTTATCTGATACGAATAAAAGGTACGAACAAGCTAAGAGGCTATCGCGAGTAATCGATCGATTTGGAGTTCACCAAAGATAACAGAATTGTAACGCCAAGCGAGATTATAATTAGTCAAATCACGTTGAGAGCATCAGTTGGATACTGTTGGAGCACGGACGGGTAACTTTCAAATTAAATTGCGGATATCCGAACACGGAATCGATGATTTCTCCCGTGAAATAGCGCCGTAATAAGACGTTCGATAAACAACAGTGTTGTCGGGGAAAGAGAGACAAAACTAATGCTTTTTGATAAACCTGTGATATACATGGTCTAACGTCCACATGAGTGACATTTCGGCACTTGGCTACAACAGTCAGTGACTTAAGCGGTGTCGCGTTGAAATTAATTCGCATGGAAAGGAATTTTCTCTTTTCAGCGGCAGAGCCGCGACGCCGCCGCTCGTATCTCGACCGTGGTCCGCGTATATCGCGGAGAGCAGCTGACCCCAGTCCCGGGCGTGAAATATATGCGCGGCGGCTATGGCGTTGCTAAGAGCGCGGCAGCAACAAAAATATGATTTCGCGGATAAGGCGCGCTGGTCGTCGCCGTCGGCGCGGCGCGGCGCGACGCGGCTTCGATCTACGATTAACGAATCCGAGTCTCGCGCGTGCCAATACCGCGCGTTCCAACACCGCGCGTCGCGACCGGCGCGAGGAAGCGCTCGCGATGGCGGAAGGGGGGAGGGAGGAGTCGATGGGCGGAAGGGGGGATGATGGGGGCGATGGGCAACAAGGCGACGACGACGCCGAGAGGAAAATCGATCGATGGCGTCCCGGTGTTATAGGACGACGAAGGCGCGCACGCACACACGTGCACACGTACACGCGACACTTTGCACACGCCGCCGCGCCGTCGCGGATAAACGCGGGTAGACGCGAGCAGACTGGGCCCCGCGCCTTCCACGACTCTACCGTGGAACGCGAGCCGGGTATAAAACCCGTACAATTAATTTTCACCTGCTTCCTTCGGAGCGAACGGAGCCGAGGAGCGGAGCGGTGTCGGGTCTCGCTCGTCGTCGTCGTCGTCGTCGTCCGCCTGCCTTTCGCGGAAGGATGTACACACGCGAGCGTGAGCGCGAAAACGCGCCCCGGGCTCACGTGTGTACGTGCGAGACTCGCGGCGCGTGAGCGTTGCGTGAACGTTTGCATGTGTGTGTACGTGCGCGGGCGCGTGTGTGCGTGTATACACGGCCACGCCGGGCTATTTGCGCGACATGTGTGCCGTCGCGTCGCGTCGCGGCCTGAGTTAACGGTCGCTCGCTATCGTTCCTTCGAGGCGACGGTGCGCTGCCGCTGGCCGCACGATAATATCGATAAACGGCTCTCCTGCTCTTTCGCCCTGGCGTCTTATCGTCGCCGATGCCTCGTTGACTTCGTTCGGATTGTTTGCCAAAAGTACTGACGAGACGTTCGCCCTTTAATGATCGTGATAATAACGTAGCAATTAATTGGGAAAGATGTTCGCGCTAATGATTAAATGGGCAATTTGTTAATGACATGTCATCTACGTCGATCCACCTTTAAAAAACCCTTGAAATTCTTGAAAAATCTATTATTCGAAGTAAAAGGGAAGTATACGTGCATTTCGGTTTTTAAATAATAAAAGCTCCCACAAGCATCGTAAGAGCACGTTTTATCTCAATTCGATCTTATTTAAGAATAAAGTTGCCTATTCTTGTTTCTCCTTACCTATCCTTCCTCGTGTTCCCGATTTCCATCTACAAGCTTGTAAAGTATAAAGTTATTCGCTGCATATCGATCTATTTATCGAAAATCAATGAAACGCACGTACTGGATAATACGTAAAAAAAATAAAAATAAAAAACGTGTATCTGTCATCGCCGGCTATTTGTCGTTTTCCTAAGCTTCGACGAAGACGAATGTCAGTGTCACGTTCAGCTCGGTTAAACTCAAACCTGCGCGAAAACGGTACGACGAGTGCGAGGGAAGGAGAGAGAAAGCTTAGATAGGAGCGATAAGATAGAAGAGAACAAGAAAGAAGATAGAGTTAGACAGAAGAGGAGAGTTAAGTTCATTCATAAAAAAGAAAATTATTACGAGCGGCGGAGGAGCGCGACTCCCGCAAAGTGAATGATACCTCCTGCTACTCTTACTTCTCTGCCTCCCCCGTTCACCGACCCCCCCGGCTCCTGAACGGCGATTACCCCCACCGTTTTGCCCTGCGCCGTCCTTGCAACCGTGAAAGATCTCTCGTGATAAACCTCGATTCTCTCTCTTCCTTCTGCGAATTATTTCTCTCTCTCTCTCTCTCTCTCTCTCTCTCTCCCCCTTCCCCCTCTCCCCTCTTTTCTCCCTTCTTTCTCTTTCTCTCTTTCTCTTCCCCTCGAGTTGTCGGCGCGCTGATAGGAAATCCCGCGAAACTTCGACCTCGTCTCTCGTCCCGCAACTTCTTCGAATAACATCGGAATTAATACCCGCCAGAAGAGCACCGGCTGCTACTGTAACTCGGAAAGACTCACGGACGATATATCGAATACAACTCGATATAACGGACTGGGGAAGCAAGCGTTTGCTAACCTGCGCACCAGAAGTGGCTAACCATCCTCGACCCGTTGACCCCTAAAGTTTGCAAAGCGAGAATTCACATTTCGTGAATGGAGTGACTCATGAATGTATATCCCAGTGACTCTCACCTTGCGCCGCCATCCATTCCGTACGTTTGTTCACGCATTGCATTCATCGAAACACGTATAAGCCGTTATTGCGTCACTAGCTAATCTGAGGTTCGATTAATGGATACGATTTAATGCACGGGTAGGTGAACGTATGATTTAATATACAGGCTGTCCCGTAAATGATAGCGCCAGTTAACGAGCCTAATAAGCTCACGCGTAAAATAAGTATTTTCCCACATAAAAGTGAAAACGAGAGAAAAGTGGAAATTTTTTTTTAATTTAAGATACTGTTTTCGAGAAAATCGATTTTTTTTAAATTGAAAAATACTGTCTCTTCTCGCTAACTTATTACATTTGAATAACATTTCGCTTATCGCACTCGTTTCAACTATCGGAATATGCACGAGAGAACTCCATTTTAGGATTTTATTTAAAAAAAAACTAAAAACGAGCTATGTATTTTGTATACTTTGAATAAATTGTGCTATTTGAAATTATATTCTTTTTCGAGAGAATATTCTATTCAATCATTAGGTGGCTACAGTTGAGATGCATCACGTGTTTAGAGAAAGATCGTCGAAACCTATTCCAACTCAAAGATAAGACTTAATCTCGACACTGTACAAATACATCCCAATTATGATGTAACTTCAGAGAGGGAAATATCTACCAAATCCGGAAGACCGCACAATATCGGTCGACATATCGGAGGGCAATTACGTTCTATCGTATGAAGCCGTCCGTTAATCGTTAGGCCCGGACGATCAAAGGATTAAAGTCGCGTTGCAACGTTGCCCGCCTCGCGCGAAAGGCTTCATTATTTTTTGCAAAAATCACAATCTAGTCGATGTTGGCGCGCGATCGATCAACCCTACGCCGCGGGGGTGGACATGTTCCTCCTTCGCCCTTGGTGGTCTATCGGCCTATCCGGCCGTCCGACGGTGCCTCGCCCTCGCCTTTATTCGCGTCCTAATCGAGCTAGTAGGCCCTCTGACGCGATATCCCTCCTGTACCCTTCT